TGCGTCCGGAGCCTGTGCTCCACAACGGGAGAGGCCGCAACAGTGAGAGGCCCGCGTACCCAAAAAAAAAAAAAAAAAAAAAAAGATATTCTGTAACCTTTTGGAAATTTCAGCAGAGTGCATGATTCTTTTCTTGTGTAAATATTTTATTTCATTAAGCTGATATATAATAACACAAAAATAAAATGTTTGTTGTGAATTTCTAGAGTTGGGAGAGATACCACAGAAGGCAACTTTTATTATTACTGATCTTTCAATAGTTTAGTCTAATTAAAATATTTATTTAAGGTCCATTAATTTGTTCAACAAATATTTCTGAGTGCTTAATATATACAACTTGGAGAATACAACTGGGAATAAGGCACGACCTTGATCTCATGGAGCTTATGTTTTAGCTGGGGAAAAGAAATAAGTAAATAAAATATGAGGTAGTTATGAATACTATAAAGAAAATAAATAGGGTTGGTGTACTAAAGACTGCTTAAAGGCCTACTTTAGACCTTTGTGAAGAGATACTATTTAAGCTGGGACCTGATGGATAAGAGCCTTGTGCCCATCTGGGAAGAAAATCATGGCATGAGGACAGAAGAAATAGTACAAAGGCATTGAGGTGGGAGTACTCTTGGGTTGTGGTTGGACCACAGAAAAGGGGAAAGTACTGTAGTAGAAAATTAGGTGGGAGAGGTAGCAGGAGCCTCTTCACAAAGGGCCTTGTAGGCTACAGTAGGGAGTTGGAAGGTTTTAATACAGACGTACATGATCTTATTTATTGTTTGAAAAGATCACTCCGGTTGCTTTGTGGAGAATGAAGTGTCAAGAGTGGAAACAGAGACTAGTTCATAGACTATTGTAGCAGTCAGGAAAAGATATGGTAGTTGGTGGTAGTGGTAAAAGTGATTAGAATTTGTTTTAAGGATGTATGTTAAAAGAGCAATTAGATAAGGAGGGTGGAGAGAAGACGGAATTCTAAGAAATTCACAAGTTTATCAAGGTGATAGTTTTATCAGTACAGTACAATTTTATGGTTTGAACATGGCCAGTTTTTCTTTAAGTTGAAAAAATGGATGAGAGTTTCATTGGTATGTTTGTCTTAACTGTTTTTGCAAAAAGCAGGTCAAAAGGTGAAAAACTTGAACTTTGTTTTCATTTACTTTACTGGAAAAGTATTAAACCATTAGAATAAGCAAATTTTACAATATTGCATTCTGGATTAGTTTTTAAAATAATGCATAGGTGATTAACCAAGTGCATTTTCCCTCAGATTAACGTCCTTCAATCAAAAAGGAGATCAGAAATCCTGAAATCAGTAAGATATTTATTGAAATGATGTTCTAAATATTTTAATATGAAGTTAAATGTATATATTTAAGTGTTTAAAATAGCACCATATATGTGTGTGTATGTATATTTATTTATTGACTTATTTATTTATTCTAGGTTCATAATTAATCTTACTTAATGATGTTTTTGTACTTCTTACATGTCACTTAACCACTTTTTTTGGTCTCCTTTATGTTACAGTTATTTATGTGTGTCTCATCTATAATTACACTGTAATCTCCTTAAAGCAGACACTTAAATAATTTGAGATTGAGGGCATACATAGCGTCATTTTACAGAATTTTTCCCTTGGGGCTGTTGATGGTGTATCAGCTTTTTGGAGTGCAGGTAGAAAACAAACAAGATGAAATTTGAAGGATGGCATGGCAACAGTGATTTTTTATTGGCCCATTTTTCGTCTTAAAGCTAACAAGGAGGTGGGCAGAGGATGATAGTCATATATACATTGCACTCTTTTATATTTTGAGAACCTTAGAAATAGTTTCTCCTCTCTGATTTTGTTCACTAAAGTTTTTTTATGGTTTTTTTTTTTCTCAAAGAATCTACAGAAATCGCTTTTGATCCTTGTCCACACCTAGGTTTTTCCTAAATTCTCTGTTAATATTTATGTTATTTCCTATCAGATGAGTACATTATACTTCCTGTTTACCTCCACCACCTTTTCCAGATTGAGAGCGATGTATGTTAATTGTAGAAAATTGGAAAATAAAATATATGAAGGAAGAATAAAAATACTTATAAATGCTACTACCAAGAGAGAACCACTATTAATATCTTGGTGTAATTTTTGTCTTTTTTCTCTGTTTGCGTGCGCGCGCCTGTGTGTGTGTGTATGTGAACATGTATAAACACCTCTTATAATTCCATTTAAGTTTTAAAAACAAAATAGGAATCATTCCTACATACTGTTCTATAATTTTCTTTTTTCACTAATACACTCCAAAATCATCATGTGTCATTAAATATTTTTTTATTTAACGGTGACTTTTGTGGCCAGGTAGAATTCTACCATATGAATACAGTAGTGGTGAGCAAACATTTTTTTTGAAGGGCCAGGTAGTAAATATATTAGGTTTTGGAGGCCGTATGGTCTGTGTTGCAACTACTCAGCTGTGCTATTGTAATAGGAAAGCAGTCATAGACAATATGTAAATGAACGGCATGACTGTTCTAATAAAACTTTTTTTTTGAACATGGAAATTTGAATTTTATATAATTTTTACGTGTCATGAATTTCATGTCTTCTTTTCATTTTCTTTAACCGTTTAAAAATGCAAAAACCGTTGTTAGCCCGTAGGCCATCCAAAAACAGGTGGTAGGGCTGGATATAGTTTGTAGGTCAGTTTGCTGACCTTGAATATACCATAAATTAATTTTACCTATTAATGTATTAACTTCACCTATTAATGGATTTTAAGTAATTTTTTTACGTTTTTGAAGTAAAGCATAGCATTATAGTGATCATCCTAATGAATAATATTTCCTTCAGATAGATTAAGACAAGAGATTACTTAGTTAAAGGGTTGAAGCATTTATTGAAACTTTTAAGGAATATTGTCAAATTTTAAGGGTTACACAAAATTTCCACTAATAGTGTGTGAGAGTGAACATTTTTCCACATTTTACCAACACTGGGTATTAATTTCCCCCACTCTACCACAATTTGGTAGATTGAAAATGTCATCTCATTATTTAATTTTGGATTTCTTTGAGGCAAATGAGTATGAATGTCCCTCCCACCTTTTTTTTTCTTGATCACTATGTTCTCTATTTATGTCCTTTCCCTCTTTTTCTGTGGGCGTCTTCATGCTTTTCATATTGATTTGTAACATCTCTTACCTATTAAGACTAGTAACCCTTTGTCAAATGTTTTTTCCTAGTTTATTATTTATCTTTTAATATGCTTATTCTGTGTTTTGATGTCAGGCATATTTTACTTTTTATGTACTTGTAACTATTAATCTCGTCCTCTCTTTTTTTAAAATATATTTAGTGTTTTTTAAAATCATATTCACAAAGTTGTACAACTGCCGTTATCTAATTCCAGAATCATCTTTTAGTGAGCTTTGTCCTTTTGTCATTGTGTTTTATTTTATTGGTTTTTCTCTCCCAAAAAAATTCCTTTTGAAGGATTCTTGAGTATTAAGGACCTTTTGACCTATTTTAGATTTTACAGAATTAAGCAGATGTTTCTTCTTGCTAAAAATAACAGGGATGTTTGGAGGATTCTTTCAGTATTGTGATTGAATTAATTCCTTCTCATGTAAAAATTTAACTAATAAAAATGAGTGTTTTTTTCTCTCATGAATAGGTAAAATGTAGGAAAACTTAGAAAAAAATCTTAACCCATTAATCATTTTTGGATTTTTGGAATGAATGTAACAAAATCTCCATATTGGCAAAGTCTGTTGCCTCATTTTATTTTGCTATCTTGAGAAAAAAATGAGCATGCCCCTATTTCGTGTTGTGCTTAGTGATCTACAGGTTGTAAAGTATATGTGATTACTTTGAGAGCTTCATATGTCCCCTCCTAATATTTTAATGTTTTATTTGTAATTTAAGGTTTTGCCAGTGAGTTTTGTTGAAAGACACATAGATATTTTATAATGTACCTGGGAAGATGGTGAAGCTATTGAAAACTTGATTCTTTGAATTATTGCAATATAAGTTTGAAAATATTTTTGTAATTTTTCTTTTAAGAAAAATGACTCAGTTTAATTTTAAATAGGTTTGATATTTTGGGCTCTGGTGGAATAATTTTTAAACAATAGGATCAGAATTTTTTTTTAATTTCAGAATATTTATCTAAGAATTGATTTTAAAATGCTAACCATTTTTTCCTCCTGTTAGATGTTATCCTTTATGTATGCCCATTTGGCCTTCTTTCATCAAGGATATGATCTGTTTAGTGAACTTGGGCCCTACATGAAGGATCTTGGTGCACAGGTAATGTACTGTACTTCTTGATTCTGTGTTATGTACCAATATCTGTATTTTTTTTAATTGAGATATAATTGACATACATATAACTGGAAGTTTTGCACCTTTTGACCCCACTCACCCATTTTCCCACTGCCAACACCCACCTCTAGCAACGTCCAGTCTGTTTTTTCTATGAGTTCTGTTTTTTTTTTTTTAATTCCACATATTGGTGAGATCACACAGTAGTTGTCTTTCTGTGTCTGACTTGTTTCACTTAGTGTAATGCCCTCAGGATCCATCCATGTTGTTGCAAAAGGCAGGATTTCGTTTTTTTATGGCTGAATAATATTCCACTGTATATGTATACCACATTTTAAAATCCATCTATTGACGGACAGTTAGTTAGGTTACTTCCATGTCTTGGCTAAATAATGCTGCAATGAACGTGGGGATGCAGATATCTTTTCGAGTTAGTGTCTTCAATTCCTTCAGGTAAATACCCAGAAGTGGAATTGTTGGATCACATAGTAGTTCTATTTTTAATTTTTTTAGGAACCTCCATACTGTTTTTCATAGTGGCTGTGCCAATTTCATTCTCACCAACAGTGCACAAGGGTTCCCTTTTCTCCACATCCTTGACACTCTTGTCTTTTATGACAGCCATTCTAACAGGTGTGAGGCAATATCTCCCTGTGGTTTTGATCTGCATGTCTTTCATCATTAGTGACATTGAGTACCTTTGACCCCTTATTGGCCATCTGTATGTCTTCTGTGGGGAAATGTCTGTTCAGATCCTCTGCCCATTTTGTAATTGAATTTATTTTTTTTTTGCTGTTAAGTTGTCTGAGTTCTTTATATATTTTAGATATTAACCCCTTATCAGATATATGATTTGTAAATATTTTCTGCCATTTGGTAGGTTGCCTTTTCATTTTGCTCATGGTTTCCTTTGCTGTGCAGAAGCTTTTTAGTTTGATGTAGTTTGACTTGTTTATTTTTCCTTTTGTTGTCTTTGTTCTAGTATCTGTATTTTTAAAGAGATTTAGCATATTGGGAAATTTGACAGTTTATTTAATGATGAAGTTTGGTGCTATAGCAGATTTATGTATGGGTTAAATGTGTAACCAAAAATAAGATTAAAGTTAAAGAAAATGTTACAGATAGCATATGAGGGTACCGAAAAGAAGAACTTTAAAACAAAGTGTTTGTTTTACAGTATACATAGCTGGATTTATTTTTTTGTTTCTTACATTTGGATTATTGAGTTACTGTCCTAATTGGTATTTTATTTGAGTTATAGCTCTTTTTTTATTTTCAAAGAAATTTGCATTTTGCTATTTTGAATAATAAAATTTTAGAATCTTAAGATTATAGAACTCTTGGGAACTTTTTCATTTTATACACACACACACACGTGCAATGCATGAATTATATATAAGAATATTACATAGAAATTTTATTACGTCCAAATTATTTTTGATATCTAATCAAAACTTTATGTTAGATCTGTTCCCAGACATTCTTTTTTGTTGACTGGTGAGTTTTCTGGATTTCTGTCAATTTTCAGTTGATTTTCTTTCCCAAAATGGTTCAGGGTACTTTCTGAAGAGAGGGATTAAGGATGAAAAATAGAGTTTAGGGAAATGGGGAAAAGGTAAGAGCAGAATGAGAATTGCATTCATTGACCAAAAATAAATGTGGTGCATGCATGTGTGCATGTGTGTCTCTGTGTGTGTGTGGGGATGGGGAAAGATGGTGTGCAGGGCATATGCTGTGGATTATAGAAATGCTCTTCCGTGCCTCTACAGAACTTAATCTATTGGAAGAAAATAACAAGTCACCACACTATTAATCTCTGTGCTAAGTGCCCTATCTGGGTATATACATGGAGATTAGATTTGTTTGCATGTGATAGAAAACCAGAAATAGCTTTAACAAGTTAGAATTTTATTTCTTCTATGTAAAATCAAAGGCCTAGTATGGTGGTCACTTAATCTGCAGGGACACAGGCTTATTATATCTTTGGATTCTACCTAATGGTTCAAAGTGGTTTATCAAGCTTTAGCCTTCATGTCCAAATGCTAGCCAACAGGAAGGAGGAAAGGGGAAAGAAAGATTCATTCCCTCTCTTTAAGTATATTTCCTAGAAATTGTATATTCCACTTCTGTGTATGACCCAGTGTCACACTAGCTGCAAGGAAAGCTGGGAAATTTAGTCTTAATGCATGTAACCATGTTAACCTACTAGAATTTGGGGATTCTGTTGTTAAGAAAGGAGGAGAGAATGGATGTTGGGAGGCAACCAGCTATCCATACTGCGTATTGGAGGATCAAAGTGTTACTGTAACATGTAGATAGTACATCCAGCCCAGACTTGGGAAGAAGGCAAGAGCTTCCTAGGCCCCAGGCACTCCCCACATCTTAATCAAACATTAGACTGTACCCTCATCTTACATTAAGTATAATTTATCAAAAAGTGAATTGGTTTGTAGTTGACTAGTTTCAATAATTGTATATTTTGACATTTATTAATTTCAGTTTTTCAGTTTTTACCCTCCCAGGTCTCAAGTAATTTTTCAGGTCCTTGAAAAGCATCTAAACTCCGGTGCCTGTAGTGCCTGGTGGATAATATGGCCTGGTTGGAGGTGGCCATTTAGGATATTCTTTCAGTAATTCAGTTATGAGATTATGGCATCTGGAACTAGGGTCCTGGCAGTAAGGGTGGAGATAAATAGATAGGCTTGAGGAATAGTTAAGATGTAGCCAATTTGAGAGTGGAGGGACATGATGAGTTCAAGTTTAAATGTGTTGATTTTGAGAATAGGACATCTAAGTGGGTATATCTGGAGTTCAAGAGAAAGAAACACTAAAGGAGTCAATAGCATATAATTGCTAATTGCAATCACAGGAGTGTGTGAATTGACCCAAGGAGAGTTAATAGGTATTTCAAAATCATGAACCTATTTTAAAAAAACATAAGTGACCGAACACCATGCCTAATAATTTTGATTTTGTAAGTTAAGGTCAAGGTCCACGAGTATGCAGTAAAAAGAGATTTGGCTTGGGACAGAGCCCTAAGAATGATCTACTTTTAAGAGACGGCTAAGTAAGAGGGGCTCCGTGAGCACACTGATGGGAGAGGAGGTGGAAAACCATAAAGAGTGTCTCAGAAAGATGGGGGTGGTTGTCAGTGCAAATGCTGGAAAGAAGGTCGAGTAACCCTAGGACTGAGAACTACCTCTTGGGTTTAGCAGCAAGAAGGTTATGTGTTACTGATGTGAGAGTTGAGGGTCCAAGAGATGAAAGCTTAATTACAGTGGGTAGATGAATATGAAATGGACAAGTGGAGAACAGGGAAAAAATTTTTAAGAAGTTGTATTGTGAAGAAAAGAGAGCAGGTAGTAGCTAGAGGGGAGTATGAGTTGTAGGAAGGTTTTGTTTAAGGTATTATTTTACTTATTAAATTTGCACAAATTTAAAAAGAAATGGGAATGGGAGAAGTTGAAAAGCAGAAAGAGAAGTGGTGAAATCTGAGGTGGTAGGAGTGCAGGAGATTCAAAACATAGGTAGAGGATTGGGGGCACCTGGTTAGGTATAGGAGCCTATTAACCTCATGATGTCCAACGCTAATAGAAACACGGGACACATGCTACTGTGCTCCAAACTCTCTCTTCCTGATACAGTACCCAGCATCTAGGAGACAAGACTGCCAGCCTTCGCACCTCCCCAACTCATACGTCCTCCAGTACTCCACCATGTTGGAAGATATCTTTTTCTTTATACTTCTGCCCCAACAAAGAGAGGGGAATTTCCTCCCTTTCTGCTGCAATAGCAGTGGGGTGGGATGCAGCAGAGAAATTTACTACCAAGTTGACAATTTTACTACCATCACTGGCATTGTAGTACTGGTGTGGAAGGTACATGCATGCAAGTTTAGAAATAACAGTTTGAATCTTGAGGGCTGCCTTCTGCTGCACTTCAATCTGAATGTATGAAAAACATTAACATGCCTTTCACTTAAAGGCTATAAAACAAGGATATAATGGTTATTCCACTCATTCAGTATAAGAAACTATTGAGGGACAAACATTTTCCTAGCGCAGCATTACCGATTAAATCAATGCAGCATGTCACTAAGGTAAGTATGCATTAGATCTTAAAGTGGAGTGGTATAGTTGCCATCTAAGTAAAATATTTTATAATAGTGATAGTTCTATTTCAGTATGTTTTCTTTTGGTTCTTTATTATTGTTCAGTGATATTAAGATTCTGTGGTCAGAATTTGTCTCCTGTAGAAAAAAAACACCATTTGTGACAGTGAATAAAGGATCACACAGTCTTTTAAGAAGGCCTTTTTCAGTTTTGTTTTTAAAGGATATCAATGAGAACATTTTGACATTTAATACTTGGTCTATCTCCGTAGTCTGTTGACATTTACATTTTTATTTATTCATTTATCACACATTAGTCAGTTTGAGGTGATGGGTGTTCAAAGATGAAATGACATACATCACAGTTTAGAAGAGTAGTAGGCCCACATAATGGGGTATTTTATAACCCAATTTTTGTTATTCCAGCAAAGAGGAGTTCAAGAAGCCAGTGCTTTTGTCATAATACTGGAAGTCAGATATTTCTCTTCTGATGGAAAGGATCAAGAAAGAAATGGGATTTTATGATTTCATAAGTTTTTAATTTTTTTTTTAAAAAAAGGACTTTAAAAATTGGTGATTTTATACCCTGATCTAATGAATGGTTTCTATTCTATTCTATTCTGTTCTATTCTATCCTATTCTGTCCTCTCCTACTCTATTCTATTGTATTCCCTCCCTCCCTCCTTTCTTGCTTTCTCTTTTATCTGTTGAATTATTTTTTCTACCTTTTCGATTTTATTGTAATATTAGGAAGCCGACTTGAAAACATGATGCATCTTGAGTGATTGGAAGTGTCTGTTATATTGAACTTGTGAGGCTGGCACACACTAGCTTAGCTGCTACTTTTTGCTGTTTGGGAAGAAAAATCACCAGTATATCTTCTTTCTGTCTTTGATAGCGACTACCAGAATTGCTGAGTGCATCAGCAGACAACTTAATCTAGAGTCATTCTCCTTAATTCAAGGGGTGAGCATGTTATCACTGTTGTGCCTTAGACAGGGCCACCTGTCACAATTGCTTGGAACCATGGTTGCTCTTAGAAATGTTTTCCCTATAGGAGTTAAAGACCTTCTCAAAAAGGATATGATACCAGAAAAAAAAGAACTTCCATTTAAAGTTGTAGCCAAAATGCCTTTTTAGGTAAACCTCAATTGACTGACTGATTTGGAATATGAGTTTTGAAAAATAATCACGTCTTTCTTTCTTTAACTTCTAAGTCTCTATCATTTACTCCTTTTCTCCTTTTATAGTTGGATCGACTGGTTGTGGATGCAGCAAAGGAGAAAAGAGAAATGGAGCAAAAACATTCCACCATTCAACAAAAGGTATTTGAGGGGAGAAGTTAAAGGAGATTAATTCCCATTTTACACACTTTCTTGATTATTGGTTTCAGCAGAATATCATTGTGTTGGAAAAGATCCTTTGAGTTGCTTTAATAATTAAATTGTATAGATAAATTCCTCCATTTTTTGTAAAAAATAAAATAGTTTTCTGATGTTCAGGTTTGTATTTCATTATTATTTTATATCAAAATATTTGAAAGTCATGCTCTTGAACCAGTTTATAAAAACATCAGTCTCTTAGGGCCTTAACTGCTTTAAAAGTGGCCCTTAGAGTTTAAAACACTACTTATAGTTTCAGTTAGGATATCACCAACCACCTGTAAAAATGTGTGTGTGTATGTGGGGGGCAGTGGATGGGGCGTGCGTGGAGGTGGTCATGGGTTGGAGAACACCGTAGCATCAATGTGTGTGTTTGGTACTAGGAACTTCCAGCTGCAGTCACTCTAAGGCAGCACTTACCCTCTCAAGTGATGCTGAAATTTCACTTGCATTTCTTATTAATTTGCCTAAGTCTAGCTAAACTAATGTTTGAAAAATATATATTTAAAAATGAAGATTTAAATGTGAAACCAATTTTTGTTTCTGTGTGCTAAAAGCTTTGAATATGATATATCTGGAGCTCAGTCTAATAATATTTTATCTTATATAGTCATTGACATTTTTTTGTGTGTAGTAATCTGAAAATAAAAAGAGACAACTGGAGGTTGAATGTATGTAAAAAGTATGAAAAAAGATGTGTTCTGTACTTATCTGGCAGGAGAGATACCATGATCACAAAGGTGGTTTTCCCAGGGTGAGACTTATCCATCCCACACCTACAATTTCCCCAAACGTGGGAAACTTGACTGCATAATTTTTGGTAGTGGGGGACTGCTATCACACTTTCCCCTAAAAAGACAAAAAAAAAAAAAAGATACCTTCTAGCATTGCTTTAAGAAATCTATTCTCTTGGTATTGAGCAGTCAAATCAACTTTTGTTATGGTTTATTTAGAATTTAAAATACCAGTAAACTAGATCTGATATAGAAGATATCAGAGGAAAAAAATGAAACTGAAATCCGTAATAAAAGTAAGGAAAATTTTATTGGTGATGAGTGGTTAGTACTCAAAGAGAAACGTTATTTAAAAAGTGGAAGATTTTCTACCAGACCATGTTTAATTCATTACTTCTAGTTATATTCAGGTAAGGCTACCTCCATGTTTTATTTTGTTTAAAGTTAGAATCACTTTTGGTTGGATTACTTGTTTTAATGACGTTACTGTGGAAAGATTTTAAAGAATTGGGGCCAGTCATTTTTAATTAAAATGAGAGGTCATGAAATTTAGAAACATGTGACTATTTGTTTAAACTGAATTATTTAATGAATATTATACATCTTTTTTTAATAGATCTTTATTGGAGTATAATTGCTTCACAGTACCGTGTTAGTTTCTGTTGCACTATGCATCTTTCCCTATTGTATAAACCGCTCAGTGTTGTACCGAATGTCCAAGAGTAGTAGATTATTAAATATGATAAATTTATTTGATTTTAAATAATTGTCAGTTATTGTTTTCCTTAAAGGGAATAATGCTGTTTTTGTTCATTATGAATACTTACCTTTTTTTTTTTTGCCCTTAAATGCTGACACAAGGCTGCATTACAGGTAAAAAAAAAAAAGGAAAAGAACAAGATCCAGTCAAACTAAAAATTAAGGAAAAGTATGTCTAATGTAATTATTTAGATTTTTTCAAGAATTGAAATTGATCAGTTGAAGAAACGATGCTATGCATATTCATGTACATGCCTTTTGGATATATGCACACATTTCTGATGGATTTATACCTAGGAATAAAACTGGGTCAGAGGGTGTGTATATATGTTCAGTGTTGGTAGATAATGCTAAATTATTTTTCAAAATGTTATACCACTCCTGGTAAGCAGCACTGCGTGAGAGTTCCCATTGCTGCTTGCCACCTTGTTGTATTGTGAAAGTTTTAAATTTTTTGCCTATTTTGGTGGTAGATATTGACATCTTTTTGTGGTTTTAATTTATGCTTTAGTCACTAATGACCTTCTCCCAAGTCTGTTGGTCATTTGGATATCCTCTTTGTTAAATGTCTGTTAGTCTTTCTCCCATTTTTCCATCATGTTGCCTAGCTAACTGTTGATCATATCTTCAAATATTCTGGATATTAGCCCCCCTTTGGGGTATATACGTTTTAAATTTTCACATAGTTTTTAAAATGTCTTTTCTGTGTGGTACTTTTTGTGTCCTTCCCAACCGAGGATCACAATGGTATATCTCTTAAGGGTTTATAGATTTGTCTAATCTTCTAAGTGTTTATAGATTTGCCTTTTATCAATATATCTAGATTTTTAATCAATCTGTAATTGGTTTTTTGTATATAGTATGAGGTAGAGATCCAGTTTCCTTTTATTTTCACATTGGTAGCTAAATGATCTAGATTCAGTTATTAAAAAGTTTGTTTCTCCCTACTACTCAGTGTTGTATACTGTTATACATCACATTTCCATACATGTGAAGTCTGTTTTGGACTCTTTTCTGTTTTGTTGGTCTTTTTATCTTAATTATGCTAATACTGTGCTATCTTAATTATTTTAGCTTTATAGCATATCTTGATATCTGACAAAGCGAAGCCTCCTACCTTCTCTTCTTCAAAAGTGAATTGCCAAAGTTCTGCGTTTCCATATAAATTTCAGGAGTGGCTTTTTAGGTTACATAAAAATAGCTTTTGGGATTTTGATTGGGATTGCATTGGATCTGTGAATCAGTTTGGGGAAAAATTGATATCTTTATTTTAAATGTCTTCTAGTCCATGAGCTTGAAATATTTCTCCATTTCTTTAAGTTTTTTTTAATGTCCTTCATAAAGTTTGATAGTTTTCTTGTACATCTTTTGTTAAATTGTATTGCAAATGTTATTGTAAATATTATCTTGTAAAAATTTCTTTTCTCACTGTTTACTTTTGTTATATATTAGAATAAAATTTGATTTTTATGTATTGATTTTGTAACCAGTAGTCTTTTTAAGCTCTCTTTAATACTGATTTATCTCTGGATTCTTTTGGATGTTATGTGTACAAAGTCACATCATCTGCAAATAATGGTTTCCTTTACTTTTTGTTTATCTTGCTGGCTAGGACTTTTAAAATAAGCTTAAATCAAAGAGATAATACTGGTCCTTCTTGTCTTCATTGCAATTTCAAAAGAGAAAGCTTCTCTTAGAGTCCCCTCATTGGCCAGCCTTGGCCTTGCCTTCTATTCCTTGGGCCCCACACAAGAGCTTCAAGTTCTCCTGATGAGACAAACGCCCTTAATGGGAGACTTGACTTCCTTGCTCTGCTTACCCCTGTGGCTTCCAATTTTCACTTATTCTTTTGCCTTTGAGTGTTCCTTCCAATTTGTCAGCTCATCAGTGTATTTAAATTCTAATATATATTTTATTCAACATTATTGGTTGCTTCCATTATAAAATCATATCACATTTTAAGTACTATAAAATATTAATTGATGTTAATAGGAATTATACTGAAGACTTAATTTATCTCAAGAAAAATAGTTGAAATTAGAAAAAAATACTTATAATGCATTGCAAAGATGCCGATGTTACAAATGAAATTTTTAGAATGTTGCCAAACTCAATTACATCTGTTGCTGACTTAATTCTGTCTACATAATTAAATAAATTATAGCTTCAAGTAAATTTTAAATGAAGGAATTAAAATTTCCCTGATTTTTTCCCCCAAAGTAAAAGCAGGAAGAAATGTAGCAATTTATTTACAGGTTATTTCATTTGATTATTTTGGATTATTATGTCTTTATGATTAAATTTTGAGAGATGTCAGCAGTGTTTGTTTTTAATTCTGAAGTTAGTCTCTTTCCTCTTTCCATAGTCTTAGACTCAGATTTGGAAAGCCCTTAGGTGATTCTCACTCCGTTTCCCCTCCAGTGCAGGACCCCGGCATCCCAGCGTTCTGGCCTCTACCAAAATCTTTCTGAAGACTGAAAGTCTACTACTCTCTAATAGGATAGCATTCTAATTTTGATTATTGGTCCAGAAATAATTTTGAAAGTTTCAAGACTGATTTTTAGAGTTTTCAATTTGGGGATCACAGCAATCTTGCAGTTTTGTTGAAATTACTTTGGAAATTCACCAGGAAATATTTTAAAAATGGGAATTCTGATTTCAAAACTTCATGAATCCTTGGAGGAAAATTGAAAGTTTGAATTCCATTCAAGTGAAAACTAGAATGATTAGAATGATAGAAAATGACTATGAGTGGTTCTATAGTCCTCATAAAAAAGTGAGCTTGGAATGCTCACTTCACACTGTGGTGCTTCTCCTTTGCAAAAATAATTTTATTTTAATCCTTTTTTGAACCCCCAAACAGTGGAGTTATTGTTTCTCCCAGTTTTTAAAAACTGCCATAATAGTAATATATTTAGAAAATAGTGGTAGATTTAAATAATCCCAATTAAATATACCCATATTCCTTTAAAAAAAATTGTTAGCAGACACATCACCATAAAATATTGGGATTAAATGAAAACATTTTAAACATAACACCTGTAGAATATCGAGTTATTCCCTTTGTCTATTTGTATACATATTGTGCTTTTAATCACAGTGTATATACAATTTATTTACCCAAGCTGTATAATTTATAAAATTTAAATTGTTTTTTCTCTTTTAATGTATATTCTGTATACTCATATATGTTATTGCATAATAGTCTACTGGATTGAAATACATCAATATGTTGAAGCATTCTTCTATTTTTGAACATTTAGGTCTCCCCTGCTTTCTTATGAATATTGTTGATATAACTATCTTAATACAAAGCTTTTTACTGTTTGAGCTGTTTCTCTAGGATAGATTTGTTGTCTAGGGAAATCAGTAAAAATCGTATGAACTTTTTAATGTGTTATTTTGTCTAGGATTTCTCCAGTGATGATTCTAAGCTAGAATATAATGTAGATGCTGCAAATGGCATTGTTATGGAAGGTTATCTGTTCAAACGAGCCAGCAATGCCTTCAAAACTTGGAACAGGTAATATATTTCAAATCTAGTCTTGCTCTTTCCATATTCTCAGTTTTCTGACTTTCCCTTTGGTTTGGCAACTCTTTCCTTCATAATTCTCTAAATTCACAGTCCCTAGTAACTTTCCTGAACCCAGTCCATTGAATATAAGATAAGGCCCTTCTAGGAAAGGGGCCTTAAGAAGCAAGTCAAAAGTAACAGTAGTAATTCTAAATTTTAAAATTTAAGCGAAGTTTAAACCAGGAAGCAAGGAGACTTTTTATACTGCTTGGTCTGTAGTGACTAGATCATTACAATGAATAAATTTTAAAATGTGAGCTTCCTCCCATATTTGTTACCAAATAGATCTGATTGCAAATTATATTTTGAATATAATGGATGAATATGACAAGTGAGCTTTTTTTTTTCCCTTTGGGTTCCTCCCCTATATACTGTTTATGTACATTTTTACTTAATTTTGGCTTGTGAATCTTTAAGTGAGGTGATCCTGATCTTTGGATCTTTACAATAACTTTAACCAGGAGTTTTAGGATATGGAATTGTTTTTATGTGTGAAGTGAGTATGGCAGCTGGTGCTCCTTTTTTCTAAACTTGACGCCTACCGAAAACTTAAAATTTTTTTTTCTAAACTGATTTTTATATATATTGATCCAGTAAATGTCTTTTGAATGAATGTGTAAAATATTTTATTTTCTCATGTATTAATAAAGTGGAATAATTTCAGACATTAAAGCAAAAAAAAAAGATTGTATTGTCTCAGGATCATTCTTCTGAATAGCAGTGATTAGCCTTTTATTCAAGGATGCCTCCCTTCTTGCCAAAAAAAAAAAAAAAGAGTAGTTAGAACAGTTTTGTAATAATTGAAAATAGTATTGGGTTCTGGTTAATTAATATACTATTATATTATTGGTTGAATGTGTATATTTTATTTGCTGCTTGAACAGATATGAATTCACTTAATGATAGATTGTTTTCTTTTTAAAAAAATGGACAGTAGCAAAATAAATAGAATTTTCTTGGTAAGTTTAATTTAGTATACATTTTTGTTAATTTAACTGGAAATGATTATGCTTGGATATTCAGTACATTGAAATGGATTCCTTGTGCACTAATTTTGAGTCCTTGGTGATGAGGTTATAGAAAAAACATTTATTGATATTTTCAAATGTCACTGATACATTGAGTATTTCCATAGCATTCGATATTGTCAGATGTTTGAATGGTACATGGTGTGTTGTATTTGAAATAATTTTCCTTTACTTGAGAGTGAATATAAACTGGAAAGAATAATGATTATATTTGATATTAAGTCTCTTTGAGTTATGTAGAACTCTTTTTTTTTTTGCGGTACGCGGGCCTCTCACTGTTGTGGCCTCTCCCGTTGCGGAGCACAGGCTCAGCGGCCATGGCTCACGGGCCTAGCCACTCCGTGGCATGTGGGATCTTCCTGGACCGGGGCACGAACCCGTGTTCCCTGCATCGGTAGGCGGACTCTCAACCACTGCACCACCAGGGAAGCCCAAGTTATGTAGAACTTTAAAAATAATACATGAATATAGATGGATCAACTAGATGGTCTGGTTAAGAAATAATGTTTAACTATTATAAAGTAAAAAAGAAAAATTAAAATTCTGTGTTAAGCCAATAATCTTTTAAGCGTTTCCTGGCAAATTTCCATAGCCAGAGTAGGAAATTAAAATCATGTGGTTGTCACATTTTTATAATAAAGATTTTTCAACTAGTATGGTTTCATGAGGTAATGATAGAATTGAATTTTAACCTTCAGATTTCAAAACAACCTTCTTAAAGTTTCATACAGTGAAAATACAGTAAATCCATAGAAACTGTACCATTATGTTAAGAAGAAATGAAATGAACTTCCATGGACTACTCCAATCAGTCTCAGACTTCAAAATGAAGCACAGTAAGTGTTAGTGGAAAATCGCATTCCCATTTAGGACAACGGAAGAACATTAATTGACTTAAGCATGGACCTTTTGGTTTTTTATTATATGTTTCATGAATTTTATTAATTGGCATAGACATTAAAACATAACTAAAATCAAGTAGGGAATAACTATTAAATTCTCAATTATAGATATGTTACCTTTCATTTGCCAAGTAAGGAAGACAATAACTTTGGAACTGCCACTTTTTAAAGGAGATGCCATTTCTGTGTGGTAGGATGACAGTTATTGATTAGAATCATAGATTGTAATTAACCCCCTAATTTTTAGTAAAGAAATGGAAGTGCAGGGAGATGGTTGCTCATTCAGGGTCACACAGCTGGTTTGTGACAAAATTGAGGCTCAAAACCTGGCTCTTTAAAAAACTTGCTATGGCAGATAGTCAAGAGACGACCAAGGTCAGAAGACAGTGGATCAAAAAAAAAAAAGAAGACAGTGGATCAACCCAGAATTAAGACTCCGTGCTTCCAGTGCAGGGGCGGGCGGGTTCGATCCCTGGTCGGGGAATTAAGATACCACATTACATGAGGCCAAAAAAAATAAAATAAAACATAAAGGAAATGTCAAAAAAAGAAATAAATAAAAAACTTGCTATGGAAATTCCAAACAATCTGAATTTTTTTTTTTTTTTTGTGGTACGCGGGGCTCTCACTGTTGTGGCCTCTCGCATTGCGGAGCACAGGCTCCGGACGCGCAGGCTCAGCGGCCATGGCTCACGGGCCCAGCCGCTCCTCGGCATGTGGGATCTTCCCAGACCGGGGCACAAACCCGTGTCCCCTGCATCAGCAGGCGGACTCTCAACCACTGTGCCACCAGGGAAGCCCACAATCTGTATTTTGATAAGACAAAATACAACTTCAATAACAACAAAAAAAAAATAGCTTAAAAAATATTTTTAAAAACCTTCCTAATCCATTTGCATTATTAGGAATAAAGTATGCATAGAAAATTAGTTTCATTTTCATACACCTTTAAAGAATATTTTGATGACAACAGTAGTTAAAGGCAGACTTCTAAGGAATATAGCATATAAACATACAAATCCCTTTTCAAAAACAAAAACAAAAGTCAAAACCTTGCAACAGGGCTTCCCTGGTGGCGCAGTGGTTGAGAGTCTGCCTGCCGATGCAGGGGACGCGGGTTTGTGCCCCGGTCTGGGAGGATCCCACATGCCGCGGAGCGGCTGGGTCCGTGGGCCATGGCCACTGAGCCTGCGCGTCCGGAGCCTGTGCTCCACAATGGGAGAGGCCACAACAGCGAGAGGCCCGCGTACCGCAAAAAAAAAAAAACCTTGCAACAGAAGTCTTAAGTATTTTCTAGGTTATAGGTCAGTAGCTATAAAAGGGAGAAGAAAGCAAGAGTTATCTATTAAATGTTATTTAGAATTCTCTTCTGCTTTTCAATTTTAAAAATTTGGAATGTATCTAAATTTTTTTCTATGTGGTTACCAAAAATCTAATGTTAGGAAGTACGTGCAAATAATTTCTCTTTACCTGTATTTGACTTCCAGACTCTGCCCTGCTTCTCTAGTTAGTTCTCTATCTAGCTTGATTTAATATATTCTACGAGCCTCTGAATAAAAGACTCTGTATTTGTGCCTTAACTTTAAAAATCCAGGAATTCAACTGTTCAAATGTACAGATTTTTTTTCTGCCCACTGTTTACATTTGTTTGTTTCTTTTTTAATTGTTTGTGGATTAGTTTTAGGAAACATACTTTCTTGTAGTTACTATAAGGTGCCAATCATATGATGACAAATTTGCCATTGTCTATAGTTGTATGGAGTACAAGCATACAATATTTTCAAAAGGAATTTTTTAAAAAGATCTTCCTGAGGGAAATGTGAATTTGACTAGGAATTCCCAGGTAGTTTTAAAACCTAACCCTGTGTTTCATAAAATCTAAGTATATCTTGAAAGCATCATTCTATGATCTGAAATTTAACCAAAGAGATGGTATTTTGTGTGATATGATTGAAATACTGTAAGGAGTGAAACGTTTTATGTCTTATGTGAATTGTTGAGCTTGTTTCTGGTTGGCTTCAGATTTCTGGTTTGTGGTGTCTCTTAAGATTTTTATATGTCTATAATATACATTTTTTGATGATGTGATATCTACAAAATAGTCTTTCCATACCAGGCCATCTTCTCAGTGTGTCAGCTTTACTTCAAGCTCAAGTCAGTGCTAGATGGATTACTAATACCTGTATATTTCTTTTGCTTTTAATGATAAATTTAGAAAAGATGAAGGAACAAGGAAAATAATTAAATATTAACATTATTTAGTAGTGAGGTGTTAAAACGAATAAAGGAGTTGAATAATTACATGCTGTGCTCAGTCTTTGTTGAATTAGAAAATATAGCTAAAAGCATAAAATGTATTATATAGTATCTTAATCTAGTACAGATACAAATAAGAAGTGTATAGATAGATTAAAGATAAACTCTACTTATGTGTGGCCTTAGAGTCTCCACTATCATTTGACGAAAAGAGGGTGAGCAGATGGGAGGAACTTTTCCTTATGGAAAGTTCTCATTTGTTTCAGGTTTATATATATATATATATACACACACATATGTGTATATATATATATATATATATATATATATATATATATATATAAAACTATAGTGATTATTTCCCTTAAATTTTTAAGGTGAGGAAAGGTACTATTTATATTTTACAGCTATGACCATAGAGACAGAAAATAATAGCAGAGTGTGCTAAGTCCTACCAGAACCTTCTATACCATAATGCTTTGAAGAAATTTTTGAATATTTCTGAAATATTAGCATTTCAGATCCCTAAGAATTGGAATTAACTGTATAAATGCATGTATGTATAATATGTGAGCAAAATACAACAGATACTTTTGACTCTTTTGTTAGGTTATGAGCTTAAGCTGGTTCCTTTAATTCTTGCTTTATTTTCATATCATGCTAGTCTTTTGCTTATTTTGCACATTTGCGTTTTCATTCTTTTACCACCTTTCCCTTATGTTTTAATCCTGCCCCATTTTTTCACATGACAGGAAAAAGCCCGATCATATCAGGTACCAAATGGCTTCCTTCCCCTCACCCTTACCTTACTCCAGTTTCCTCTTTGGCACGAGAAAGCTCATAATTAACCTGCATTTCAATTGGATTACTTGCAATGGATATAAAGTCTCATGTTTTAAATTGGGAAGAAAGTGTAAACTTCTTATTTGAGGAATGGAATTATACCTTTTCATTGCTTATCTCCTCAATTTGTTTTAATCTGGAAAAGAACGTTTGATATGTGTATAGTTATCCAAAGAAGATATAGATTGAGTAATACGAATACCTTTATATATATGTGTGTCTGTATTTTTCAAGGGAAATAAGCTAGTAAATGCTTTTTAAATTTTTTAAACAGTAATTAGGAATTAGCCCCTTTGGTAATCACCTTATTAATTATGTTTAAAGGAAACATTGTCAGTTCCTAGCTTTTGTTTGTTTTACCATTTTGATCTTTTTCCTTGTGAAAAACTAAATTGAATTTTAGATAAAGGAACATATACATGTTCAAGCTTTTAATTTTGTTAAATGTTCACCTTTTTGGCACCTGTGTGCCAAATGTGTGCATGAATCCATCATCTGTATAGTTTTAGTGATAAAGCTTCTACAGATTTAGAAGTATGACTTTTACCAATGTTCTTGATTTTGAGTTCTGGGACTAGTGCTCAAAAATTGTAAAAGATACTTGATTTCTTTTTTAATGTATTCCCTCCCCACCAAAATTCTGTCATCCTATGGCTCTCATTGGTATTTAAAAATTAATAATATTTGTTTATGAATGTAATATTTTGGTCTAAAATCTTTATTATGTTATCTCAGTTTGAGATAGATATAAAGTGGTGTCTTAGTTTTCTTAAAACCAAGAAATTTTCCTTTTTAAAAACTGTTTTATATTTTGGCTTTGTGGTCAGTTTGTGAATCTTGCAGAATATAGTGTAGTTGTCAGCACAGTGCTTTCCAACATTTGTCTTTTTTATTATTTAATTACCTTTTAAAGAATCTTCAAATTGCAGGTAGCATGAACTTGAAAAATATTAAATATTTTTGCATATCGCATAGACTATGAACTGTCTCATTTTTCCTTTTATTAAGATTGTTAATAATAACTAGGATTATCCTACAGGAGCAATTTAAAATTATATTTTATTTTACTTACCTGATTAAGGTCTTCATCAATGTAAATGAGTAAAGTTAGTTCTTTTTTCTTCTTTTAATGGCAGAGGAAGGGAGATAGTATCATAAGACATACTGATCTTAGTAATTAAAATATTTTTCTACCTAGGATATGTTGTGGGGTTTTTTTTCCTTAGCAGATGTCAAATTACGATGAATTTGTAGTGTCTTGAATTTATAGTGTATACAAAAACTAATGATGTGAGAAAGTTACCCAGAAGCAGATAGATGGTAGGGGAACTGAATTTCAGAAATATAAATGATCTATAAAGTTAATAATCAGAGGAAATTGTCTCTAACAAAAAAATTGTAAGTTTTTATCTAGTATTTTGTTATTTATGTTCAGAGGCTATTCTAAGATTCAGCAGGTCAAAAGAAATTTATTTTTTGAAGACCTCAGAAGCATGAAAAGTTTACATGGATGTTTTTCCATTGTGCAATAAAATTCATTGTAGTTTTTCATCAAATTATATAATATTACTATATATAAAATATAAGAATTTTTATTAATATGGTGTACGCTACTTCAAATGATTTTTTTAAAAAGCACTTTAATCAATATCAGAGATTGTTTCCATTGCATGTCATCCCATGTGGCAGGGCTGCACCATTTTGTTTGTTTGGAGGTATTTCCTTTAACATTTCTAACCAACCATGTGTTCCAAAGCAAAGAGACCCAGAAGTTCTTCCTTTTCTAGCTCACCTCTTGATGATTTGCATTTAGAGGCAACCCACTTGGTTTTATCTAGATGCTTATTTAACAGTCTCAATTTTAATGGTAACGGTGATACCTTTTTAAATAGCAGGAAAACCTAACAATCTGTCTAGCTTAAAAATAGAAAATCATCTAATCATTTTCTCAGCTTTGGAGAATTAACTTAATTTTTTAAAATAGAAATTCTAAATATGTCAAAATACAATTTTTAGTGCTTTGTATTAGTATCAATGAAAAGGTAGAATCTCTATCTGCTAATAGATTAATAACTAATGTTTACGATAGAAATCATCTCACATGAAACTAATTTTAAAATAATGACTCAAATATTGTTTTACCTTTCATGCTTGATGAGAGTTTTTGCTTCCTTTTATGAATGGCTTTTGGCTGTGAGTTTTTTTTTGTAAGTCTTTAGGTCCTTTTACTGTTTTAATAAATTAGAATTAGTAAATATGCCATATGTAGCTTAGTTTTTTCTTCTAAAGAAGATTGCAAGTAAAGTGTTTGCCAATTAATGTATAGTAATGAGCAGAACAATAGTTGGGTGACTCATTTTTAGTCATAACTTTGATTATTCTGCTTAGAAGTATTTTACATGAAAGTAAGCCCAAGTGAATTGGCACCTATCTCCTGTGATGTCAGTTCTAAAAGGATGATACAATTTTCTGTTTTGCTTAACAAATCAGACGCTGAATTAGCTTCAGAAAGGTTGAAAACGAAGCACCATTTATTTCAGTCTTTTATTGTATACAAATGAAGTCTTATTTATAATATAATTTTATTTCTACTTTATAACAAAAGCAAATTATTTTGGGGGAAAGATTTAGTTATTTTTGAGGAAGCTCAAAAAGCTAAATTTTTATTTTAAAACAATTACTATTTGGTAATGACATAAAGGATGACAACTTTTGTTAGGATATAAATTTCTGACATAAAAATGAATCAAAATATAGTAATCTTATTTTCCTAATCTCTGGTTTTAAAATTGCCTGAAATTGTTTTTTTACTTTCAGTAGTTATCTCATTGACATCAGTTTATATAAAGCAAAACAAAACAATGCACTTCTAAAAACATAATTACCATAAACTGATTTTCTAGTGCTTTCCCCAATATTTCTTTTCTAACAACAACTGAAATAAATTATGTTTGTGAAAACGTAATCTATTTTGTATTTATTTAGACGCTGGTTTTCAATACAGAATAATCAGTTGGTTTACCAGAAAAAGTTTAAGGTAGGTGTTTTGTTAATTAAGTGAAAACTCATTGAGTCCCCGGTTTAAGTTTTTTAACTGTTCCTTTTGGTAAAGCATTGAAGTCCATAAATATGCATGTGTGCAAGATTACTGCTTATTAGTTTTATGTTTGTGTATGTATAAGAGGACTCAGAAGTGGAAAGTGTCAACATTGTGTCCTGAATTCTTAGTTCCTAGCTTTGAGATGGATTTTTCTGTGTCCCAGGATTATTACTTTTATTCCTTCACGTGTTTCTTTGTCCAGCTGTGAGACAGGAATTCCCTAGTACTGTTTTGATGCTGAAGGAAAGGGTGCCTTTTAAGAAATATCACCTTAGGGCCAAAAGTGGTAATGGAGAAAGGTTAATAATTACATTAAAGTGTAAGCTTGAATTAATTTAAATAGAAACTTTTAAATTTGTTAACATTGTTTTTACATGTTTGTTTTCCTGAACCTGATTTTAAGAGTGAGGTATTTTTATTTAATGGAAAGGCATAATGAGATTATATGTGACTTGAGAATGTTAAAGATAATTAGAGAAAAAGAACTATTAGTTAATTGATGACTTGATTTTTACCTAGTTAGCCTTTATGAATGATGTATTCACCTGTAAATTTCAAATATCCACTTTACTCTTGAGATGACACAATGTGAAATTTTACTTGCTATTCTATGGTAGCAGGTTTTTTCCATACAAGTTCTTTATTCTAACTAATTAGTCCATGGTTATTTCTACTCTGATAAGCTTGGTTTTGAGTTTTTTTATTAAGTACTAAAAAAATGATTTAAAATTTCTCATTTTCTTAGGTATTTTACGAAGCACGTATAGGCTTCTTATTTTTCTTTCAGTTATTTAAACTTGACTCCTGAAAGGCTTCTTTTTTTGGAGGAAAGTAGCTTTTATTATATGTGAGTAAGGATCAGGAGAGAAATCGATATGGAAGAAAATAGAAGAAAATGAACAGAAAGCTAACATTTATTGAGCACTTGCTAATTAACTACCAAGTGTTGGACTAAGTTTATATAAACTATTTCATTTAATTCTTATACAGCACTTTTATGAGGCAGATAAAATTATTAACAGGGCAGAATTACCTTTATTAGTTATATCTATGTTGATAACTCCTATTTCTAATCTAAAATAAGGTAAAATATAAACCTTTAAAATTAGACCATTTATTCCAAGTACTGTTTTTAAGTATGTTTTTATTGGTAGTTGGTATTTAAAACCTAGGTTGATAAATATGGGAGTTTTGTTTCCTTACTGTAGGATAATCCCACTGTGGTGGTAGAAGATCTAAGGCTCTGTACAGTGAAACATTGTGAGGACATAGAACGACGATTCTGCTTTGAGGTGGTCTCTCCAACAAAGTGAGTGGTTCTAAAGAATTTGAGAGTTGCTTTTATGTTTCCATAGCTTGTCTTAAAGAATTTTCCAGAATACAGAGAGATCTGTGTTGCAGTTGTGATTATATGAGCTAAAGAGGGAAAAAGTGCTCTAAAAGTAAATTTAATAATTAATGATTACATGTATTAAGTCAGATATTTATGTAACTTCTACCCAGTATCGTATTCTTTAAATTCTATAAAGATGATTGATGTGGCCATGTGAAAACATATTAAGTGTCATGGTAATGAACTGAAGTCATATATCAGATAAATTTCTTTGATAACTATCATTTCATATATCTACCCAATGGAAAAAATTAATGTTATTTTATGTGGCAAATTTAAAGTTTTTTTTTTTTTAATATACAGGAATGGGTGATTTGTTTTCAGTAGGTAATTTATTTCATTGGTTCCTTGATTTCTTTATGAACATACCCTGTCGTAAAGATAGGTGAAATAAAACCTTTCAACAGAAATTAGTTTTTGTTAGAAAATTATTAAATAGCAAAGTGGACAAAAAAGTAAACCTTCTTATTTTTTGGTTTAATTTAGTATCTGAGAAAACAATGTTATTTCCTTTTAGAAGTTGTATGCTTCAGGCAGATTCTGAAAAGCTGCGCCAGGCATGGATTAAGGCTGTTCAGACCAGTATTGCTACTGCTTATAGAGAGAAGGGTGATGAATCAGAGGTTAGTAAACAATATTGTAATACCAAGTGATACATTGACAAAGTTTCTAATTTTAGTTGCAACATTGCATGATTATTAAAACTTTCTTTATTATGGAGGATAATTTTTTTTGTAATTGAAATGGGTTTTATTTTTAAATTGTAGATTCAATTCTGTTGCTTATTTCTCTTTACTTATCATTTTATATATATGTTTAATATATATTTAATATATATATTTATGTTTAATCCATTATTTCAATAGGTGTCCCAGGTATTCTGATGCAAGTATTTTTCCCCAAATATTTTATTATTCTAATAAAACAGTGAATGTGAAAGGTATTTAAAATTAAAACTGGGTGAAAAGCAAAAAAGGAAAGCTCATATTTTAGTGGAAATCTCCCTGGAGAAGATAAGCTAAATATAGAGTCTTGGGTTGTAGTCTGGCTTTAGCTACCCAGTGAGTTTACAGACTCTTTTGAGCAAGGCCATGAGTGAGTCTTAAGAAATGGAACTCACCACTTGCCCCCACTAGCTTCCTAAAAATGTGACATTTGTGAATCTGTACATGTCTGAAAATGTTTGTATTCTATCCTCACATTTGTTTGATAGTTTGGTTGAGTGTGGAATTTTTAGGTTGGAAATGATGATTCTTAAAAATTTTAATGGCAGTGTTTTTCTTGTTTCCAGAGTTGTTGTTGGAGTCTTTCTTGTTACCAGTCTTTAGTATTCCTCCTCTCCAATTTCTTTGTTTTCTTTTTCTGGAATTTCTGGACTGGTCTTATGATTTTCTTATTTTTTGTGTTTTTTGTTCTGCATTCTGGGAGATTTTATCAGTTAGTCTTCCAAACCTTCTATTGAATATTTCAGTTCTGCTAGCACATACTTAATTTCCAAGAGATCCTTTTTGTTTGCTGAATGTTTGTACATATAAACCTGTTTTTTTTTCATATATGCAGTGTTAGAGTTGTGGTTCTTAATCTTGACTGCACATAAGGATAACACAAGAAGCTTTAAAAAATCCCAGTGCTTAGGTCCCACCCCAGAACAATTGAATGGAGTTGGGACCCAGGCATCAATATTTTTAAAAGCTTTCTAAACGATTTCTGTGTATAGGCAATGTTGAGAACCATTTTATTAGGGGCTTTCCTTGGCTTTCTGGTAATCTGCTTATGGTTGCAAGTTAAGGACTAACCTCTTTGGAAGCTCTGAGAACACAGTTAGGACTTTGTTGACTGTGAGCTTCAGCAAAGTGTGGACCATTTGTTGAGGAACAACCAGAGTTAGGGTCTTTGGAGTCTTTTCAGCTAAGATTCCCCAGAGAAGACTCACCAATCTCCTGCATAGGGATAAGGGCCTGGCTTGGAGCTAATTGCTGGGGATCGCAGCATTCGGTGTGTATACATTAATTTAATCCTCTGCCTTCCACCTTTTAGGTAAACCCCATCCAGTCACTTTCCGTTTTACTTTCCCAGAGAATAAACCTCTAGTCATTTGTGTGTCTTTGTAGAGAGCAGTCCACTAATGGCAGTGTTGGGGAGGGCACCTTCGATCTAACTGCTTCTTAAACAATCAGTCCTCCTACTTTCATCCCCACTTCCAAGATAACTGGTATAAATCCTTGAGTCCTTTGAATATTATGTGATATAAATTGATGGACTCTTAGATTTTTCTTATTATTTCCTTAGATTTTACCTTGGTCTACTCAGTTACCATTCATCCAGCCACTCTTCAGCTCCCCAAGTTTTGTTGCTCTTATTTTCTTTCCTGTTCTCCCTATTCTTGTGGATAAATGCCTTAATTTTTTTTAATAAAAAAGCTTAAGTTTTTTAAAGTAGATTACAGAAATAATGTCATTCTACACTTAATAGTAATTTCTTAATATCGTCTATAATCCAGTCTATATTCATGTGTCTTCAGTTGTCCTAAAAATGTCTTTTACAACCTGTTTTACAAAGTAGGATCTCTTCGATGACTGGGTATTGCATCTGGTCTTATGTTCCTTGTCTTTCCATCTAGAACAGTTCCTTTTTTTCATAACAATGGCGTGCTGAAAAGGTTAGGCTATTTGTTCCTATAGAATTCCTTCTCATAGATTGCAACATAGATAATGTGTATACTTCATGCTGCAACAGGAGACATACAATATTGTTATCCAGCCACTGTTAATGCGAAAATGTTCTGTGTGAACATGAAGCAGACACATTGGATTAGGGAGATGACAATATGATCCCTCCATTGTCATGTTACATTTCCTTTCTTGTTCCCAGTCTACTCTGTTATTTTGTGTAACAAAATCTACCTTGTGTTACTTTGACCCTATAAGATCTATGCTCCATCAACCATCCATCTAATAGTTTTATAACTGAATTTGTAATTTCATTAGGAATTGCAAAATGATTTTCTAATTCTGTCATTCCCGTCTGCATTCCTGTGTGAAATACAGGTTTTCTTCATCAACGGAGCTATTTAGTTAGTTTAATAAAATGCTTAATTTTTTGCTTTTAATTACCACATTTGGTTGATTTATTAGCTACCTTAAGTGGGGACAGATACAAGTTTTTTGGGATATCATTATACACTCATGGATTTTTGGTAAATACAGTGGGTCCCAATTAATTGCGGTAATTACTATTTTTTCATATTCAGATTATCACAACTTTGTCCATTAAGGGCTCTGGGTAATTGCCTTTAAAAAAAAGTTCTCTAGTTTTTAGCAGAGTTTTGAGAAGGAACAAATTTAGGTGTGTATCCAGATCATCTTGATGAAGGAGCTAGTGGTGTTGCTGAAATACCTATGTTAGCAAAATCATACACCAGAAATAGCAGGGATTATAGGAAAAATAGGGATAGGGCCAACCTAAAAAACCGTGTAAGTTTGTAACTTGAATAATTTTTGGAACTTTGAAATCTCAGTAAAAATATTCGCTTGGCCAAAAAGTTTGTTTGGTTTTAAGTCAAGATAAAAGACACATTTTTCATTTTCACGAAGAACTTTGTGGAACAACTTATTCACTACCGAATGAGCTTTTTGGCCAACCCAATATTAGCCTAGTTAAATTCCTAATAAATGAGCACTATAATATAGAATACAGATAGGACTTAACTTTAAAAATTGGTGAGGATAGCTTAAAGGAAGGGTACAGAAGGGTTGAGGCTTTGGTGACATATACAAAATACATAAAGATCAGAGAGAATGGTGCAGTAAACACTTTCAAGTCATAGCACATGGCCAAAATGAGCCAAGAAGAATGGGGAGATGGGTGTCATTTTCAGTCCTGTGTTCCTTGAGGTGGCCAGCCCAAGTTCTGCTGTGTTAGTGTACTTTGCTTTCGGCCAAAAGCATTAGCTAATAAAGGAAAAATTAGGGCTGAACCAACATGATTTCTGCATTATATTGACATCCTTTCTCTATATGATAATTGCTTATGAGCTAATTCACATTATCAAACATGTTTTAGTAAAGCAGATTTTATTTCTTTTTTTTTTAATTTTAAAGTAATCTCAAATTTATAGAGAAGTTCCAAGTATAATACAAACAATTTTTTCCCCTGAACTGTTTCAGAGTAAGCTGCTAACATATGCCCCATCACCCATTATTAATTTAGTGAGTAATTCCCACAATTAGGACATTTCTCCTGTATAAGCATAGTACAGTCATCAAAATCAAGAAATGAGCATTGATGCATACTTCCATTTAATTCTCAAATATCATTGTTTTAACAGTTGTCCCAGTAATGTTCTTTACAGCAAAAAGATGCAGTTCAGAAGCACAGGTCTCTTTTAGTTGTCATGACTCTTCAGTTTCCTTCAGTTAGGAATAGTCCCTCAGTCTTACTTTGACCTTCTTGACCTTGGTTGTATTGAAGATTACAGATTTCTGTAGAATGTCCCTCATTGTTGGTTTGTTTACTCACAAGGTTATGCATCTTTTGTAGGAATGTTGTATAAATGATGCTGTGTTCTTCTCACTGCATCCTTTCAGGTGGCACAAGATTTTGATTTGTCCCGTTATTGGTGATGTTAACTTTGATCACTTGAGTAAGGTAGTGTCTGCTAGACTTCTCTACTGTAATGTTATCTTTGTAATAGTTTTTTTTGTGTGTGTGGGGGGGTACTTTGAGACTATGTAGATATTCTGTTCCTCATCAGGCTTTAAATTTTAAAATATATCAATATAGGCCTCTATTTTATTCAATGTGTTATAATTCATTACTATCATTATTTGTTTTCTCAAATTGACCCAAGTTTCTCAAATTGACCCAAGCCCTGGATTCTGTATCCTTTTGACATGTTCCCAACAATCTTTGAGTTGTTCTCTACTTTCTAACATGATGAGATGTTCTGAGTTCATCTTCTTGTAGTTTCTCTGTACTAGCCTTGAAATCAGTAGTTTCTGCAAACTGCCCTAGTTCTTTTTGGTGGAGAATAGTTTGTAGAAACCAAGATAAGGGAATATACATGTATATATACACATATACACATTTACATCTGTATTACTTTATGTATCTATTTGTATTGAAACCATTAGGGCACCTGTTGGTATCTCCAGTCCTAATTCAATATAACAGGGTTTGTTCTAACTCTCTCCCTTTTTATATAAATAAGCCCTTTGTCTGCAGTGAGAAATCTGGCTCCCACTTATTTTTTAGCAGGTTTAGTTACATAATCAGTTCCCCTGTATGTGACCAATATCCCTTCCCTGCTGCCATTTCCCACCTGCCAGGCTCTAACATCTCTCACTAGGTGGCACTCCCACTTTGTAGTTCCTCTCTGTCCTCAGGCTCTCATTTCCTTTGTTGGGCTGTCTCCCTATGCAAATACCCTCCTTCTGCTGCTTGGGAACAACAACCTGCACAGGGTCACTCTCATTTGAGGGTATGCTCCTTACCCAGCTGAGTCCTCTCTGGCATACTGTATCCCCACACTTTCTTTGCTTAGCCCCACCTAACGGCTATTGAATTGAGTTTTCAAGAAGGGCAAGACAAGGGCCAAATTATATTTCTGTTGATTTTATACTAAAATACTGGCTTGTTGAAATGTTTTTAAACCAGAAGACATTTTAGGTCATATCTTTAATTGCTTAGGACCCCCAAACTACATGTTTGTATTTGGTCGTTATTGGTATAGACTTTGTTGTTCGCTTAAAACATTAGCTTTTTGCTTATCTACCACGTTTGCTTTTCTCCTCGTTTCGCCTGAGATTTTAGACATCGTGCATTCTGTTGTTGATTCACTCGTAATTATAATTATGCAGTTGATCTCCTCATTAGTAAAAGGCCATACCATTTTCAGTAATTCACTGCAGTAATTGAAACAACTTGCTTGCAGTTCATTGAATACCTTGGAAAAACTTGGTATAAGATAGTATTTATTTTATTCTTGAGTCTTTATAGTCTCACGTGTACTCTCTCTGTCTCTTATCCTGTGTGTTAATTTACTGTTCCCCTTTCTCTTTGCCATTTTATCCTGTACATACATTCATTGTGTCGGGTTATTTTTCAATATTAATGTGTTTCTCCCCACAAGACTAAAGGCCAGTCGATGGAGGAAACTATATCTTTTCATTCTTGAATCCCCGGTGCTTAGAACAGTGCCTGGCTTAGGCCCATAATAGGCCTTCAATTTGTTGATTAGAAGCATTTGTTTGGAGCATGTAGTGTGCAACGTAGTATTACAATCCTGAGAAGCTGGATAAGAAATCATCTCCATCCACGGGAAGCCTGGATTCTGGAAATGAGTCAAAAGATAAATTATTGAAAGGAGAAAGTGCATTGCAGCGAGTCCAGTGTATTCCTGGCAATGCCAGCTGTTGTGACTGTGGTCTGGCAGACCCACGGTGGGCCAGCATCAACCTGGGCATCACCCTGTGTATCGAGTGTTCTGGGATTCACCGGTGGGTAGGCCTGTCCAGGGTGAGAGACTTCTTTCCGTTAAACACACATTGTAAATTATTGTGTCTCATTGGTTAGAGGACCTTTCCCACTTGCCTAATTTGACTGCCAGTGTGTTTTTGTATCTTTTATGAAGTGGATAAAATTCTGGTTTGTGAAGTACTTTTGAGGACTTTGATTCACCATATTCATTATTAACTAGAAGATCTATCCCTATTTATATATGTGTTGAGGCCTATATTAGAGACTATGTCACATTAAGAGAGAAAAATAACTTACATAATGTGCAAATAGAGACTTGAAAGTTTTATATATTAATGCAGTCTTTTTTTTTCCCCCACTTAGGAGTCTTGGAGTTCATTTTTCAAAAGTACGATCTTTAACTTTAGACACCTGGGAGCCTGAACTTTTAAAGGTAAAATGAATATTTGCTTAAAAATGTTTTATGTTTTGGGCTTCCCTGGTGGCGCAGTGGTTGGGAGTCCGCCTGCCGATGCAGGGGACACGAGTTCGTGCCCCGGTCCGGGAAGATCCCACGTGCCGCGGAGCGGCTAGGCCCATGAGCCATGGCCGCTGAGCCTGCGCGTCCGGAGCCTGCGCGTCTGGAGCCTGTGCTCCGCAACGGGAGAGGCCACAACAGTGAGAGGCCCGCGTACCGCAAAAAAAAAAAAAAAAAAAAATTTATGTTTTCACATAAAAGTCAAGATTGTATTTATTTATTTATTTTTTTGCCACATAGCTGTGCAGGATCTTAGTTCCCCTACCAGGGATTGACCCCGTGCCCCCTGCAGTGGAAAGGCAGAGTCCTAACCACTGGACTGCCAGGGAATCCCCCAAAGTCAAGATTTTAGAATCTGGTTTTACAAATGTATGAGTTTCTCAGTGCTAACAGTGAATTAAATTGTATTGGAACATATCTGATGTTATTTTGGCAAATCTGGTGTTTTGTTATTGGTTTTTTAAATTGCTAAGCTTATTATGTAGCACTCTTAACTCCATGTCAGTTCACTTTTTTTTTTTTTTTTTTTGCGGTACGCGGGCCTTTCACTGTTGTGGCCCTATCCCATTGCAGAGCACAGGCTCTAGACGCGCAGGCTCAGCGGCCATGGCTCATGGGCCCAGCCGCTCCGCGGCATGTGGAATCCTCCCGGACCGGGGCAAGAACCCGTGTCCCCTGCATCAGCAGGCGGACTCTTAACCACTGCGCCACCAGGGAAGCCCTGTCAGTTCACTTTTTAAGGAAACCAGCACCCCTGCATTTTTATGTTTTCTCACAAATTATCTTAGATTCTGTGCCTTAATTTTATATTTTATAATTATATAAATTCTTGTTAAAAATATTAGATATTGCTATAGTGAGCTGCGTGATGGATTGGTATAGCATGTCGTTATCATTGCATATTTTAGCATAACACATTTGCAAATTTACATTTTTAAGGGGTAGTAGTTATCAGACTAAGACATCCTTTTTCCTGTGTAAGGATTCATATCTTTGAAAATGTCATAAATGATTTTATATCACAACTGGGTTTTTAATAACATTTACAAAATTTATACTGGTTAATAGTATACCCATTTTAATTCCCACCATTTAGTTTACCATACTGTAAAAAATATACGTTTGTTTAAAGGTTGTAGTGTATCCTACATTTATTTCTGTCTGAAAATTGTGTTCTTAATGTGCTTGTGTTTTTATTTCAATCCATAAATGAACCAATAATCCTGTCAATTAAGTAAAGTAAAAAGTTTTCTTCGTGGAATCACTGTGGAAACATCTAAATGAAAGTGATTAAGTTGGCTCCTGTGGTAGAGCCCTATTTCGATAGATTCCATAAATTGTTATGAATTCAAAAGAGAAGAAAGTGAGGGATGGGGACTAGCAATCTAATTTCTGCATCAACTTTGCGTGTAGTTATGAACTCAGTGGATTCAGTTTAGAAGCTTTGGTTGAAACACAACTGTCTGATACATTTAAAAAATATTGAGACTTAAAAAAATATTTAGAAATACTTATAAATAAAGTGTAAGGAGAAAATAGTTTGCTTCAATTCTGAGTTGTTTAAACCTTACCGTGTCTGGACTTTGGCTTCTTTTTTCAGTTAACGTAGCAGATGCTGTGAATGTGTAGCCTTGTGCTAGCCACAGTAAGGGATAGAAATCTGGTAGAAGATGGATGAGGAGAAACGCTTTCTTGAGGAGTAGTAATCTTCTAGGGGAGGTATTCTGGTGAAGAATGGCAAAATGGTGATATTGCTCTCAGTCCTGGTCTCCTTTTGTTTTAACTTTAAGCATCTTTGTGAAATGAGCATTTGCAGAATATGCAAAAAGAACTAAATAGCTCTGTTTGCGTAAGGATTTATACAGTGTTTTTTAGGAAATTATTGCTTATTTTCTGTCTTTCTGCCAAACAGCTTATGTGTGAGTTGGGGAATGATGTTATGAATAGAGTTTATGAAGCTAATGTGGAAAAAATGGGAATAAAGAAACCGCAACCAGGACAAAGGTACTGTTGTGTTAATGTGTTACCTCATCCCCCCCCACCGTCTTGAATATAGCTATTATTTTATTTCACTTTAATTGATATGTATTATTGAAGCAGACTGTTCAGAAGAGATCATTATTGCTTCTGTTAAAATATGGCTGTGTCTCTCTTGGGTTTGTTAATTAGATAATTATATTTTACTAGTCAGATAATAAATTATAGTCTCCAGATGAGAGAGAATCTTAAAACTTGAGGCTCCGGGGCTTCCCTGGTGGTGCAGTGGTTAAGAATCCGCTTGCCAATGCAGGGGACACAGGTTCGAGCCCTGGCCCGGGAAGATCCCACATGCCAAGGAGCAACTAAGCCCGTGGGCCACAACTACCGAGCCTGCGCTCTAGAGCCTGTGAGCCACGACTACTGAGCCTACATGCCATAACTACTGAAGCCTGCACGCCTAGAGCCCGTGCTCCACAAGAGAAGCCACCACAATGAGAAGCCCGCACACTGCATTGAAGAGTAGGCCCCGCTCGCCACAACTAGAGAAAGCCCACGCACAGCAACGAAGACCCAAAGTAGCCAAAAATAAATAAATAAAAAATAAATTAATTAAATTTTTAAAAAAGCCTCCACATAGGAATATAAAAACTCTTAGCAGTTAAAGGAGACAAAGTTCTGTTAGTGGCAGGCCTTTAAAAAGAGTTAATCTGTTTATTAATGTCTCCAAGGATCAAGTTTCTACTACCTACAATGAATAGTAGCACATTGTTTGACTTCGTTCTGCAAATATTTGTTAATTATGTATTTCATACATGGCATTATTATATTGAAGAATTACAGATGAAAAGGGTAGCTTCTGGTAGGGGAGAGTACTTACTTAATTGCTCTGTTTGAAATTTTACTTCCAATTCTATATATGGAGACTGAACGAAGTGGCCGCCTTCAAGGTAGATAATTAGTTTTGTTGCTCATATTATTTTTAGACTTTATGATTCTTTATATTAGGTATTAAAATTTTATTTGCCATAATCCTATGTTTGATTATATTTTTATGATAATTAATACTTTTTAAAAGTTATTGCCCTCTAAACCAATACCACTTAAATCAGATTCTTATTTCAGACCTTGAGATATTCTATTTTAGCCAAAGACCTAGGCATTTTAGAAAGATGTAAGTAAGAATAGGTATAGAACAAACTTGGTGTTTTATAGTTGTATCATAAATCAAAAATCTTAAATGTGATACCTTTTTTGGTCCCCCTTAAGTTAGAAACGCTATGTTGTTTTGAAGTAGTTGTCTTACGAAGAATTATGGTCACGACTAGTGATAGTTCAGTATGTGACATTATTTATCGGAGTAAAAATGGAATTAAAGTTAACTTCTGTAAATTTTAATAGTTTCTTGGTAATGTTTTTCACTCTGTAAAAAGCAAAAGAGAATATGTATAGGAATGAATGAGCATAGAAATTAAGCCAATAAGAGAGTGCCATGTTAATATTTGTGATTTTTCATTTTATTGTTTGTTTTTCATTTAAACATGAAATCATAGTTCATTAAATATTGGGAAGGAACACGTGTTGTAGAATGTTGCAAATTCAGTTTTAACTAGTATGACATTTAGTGACTTTCTTTGAAAAATTCAGTATGTAATGGCTTCTTTTCAGTATTAGCCATGCTAAGAGATTAAGCAGAACATCATGACATTTTTATGTATACCAACCAGACAGGAGAAAGAGGCGTATATCAGAGCAAAATACGTGGAGAGAAAATTTGTGGATAAATATTCTATATCATCATCACCTCCTGAGCAGGAAAAAAAGATTGTCTCCAAAAGTTGTGAAGAAAAGAGGCTGAGCATTTCTAAACTTGGGCCAAGTGAACAAGTTAGAGCATCTCCCCAAAGTTCAGGTATTACAGTTTACTTGTTATCTATATAAATATTTTCTTAAGCTGAAGTCACTTTCTTAATCTCTGAATTAGTAGCTGTTGTAGATTTTTTAAATGCTAAAAACTGTTTCCTTCTGTATATCCTACAGAGAAATTGATTTCTCTGTCTTTAAAACAGTTAAATTTAAGTAGTGTTCTGATAATTCACATTTCTAGGTACACTTGACCCTTGAACAACTCGGGGGTTGGGGCACTGACTCTCCGATCAGTTGAAAATTCTCATATAATTTGTAGTTGGCCCTCCATGTATGCGTTTCCTCCATGTCTGCTCTGCAGTTCCTCTGTATCATTGGTTCTGCATCCGTGTATGCCACCAATCCCAGATCATGTGGTACTGTAGTATTTAGTATTGAAAAAATCTGAGTATAGGTGGACCCACGTAGTTCAAACCTGTGTTGTTCAAGGTTCAACCATAATGTGTACATTCTTAAGGAATAAAACTGCTTGAAATGGAAGGGGAGATGGGAATTGCAAATCTGTCATGCAAAAAGCCCTAAATATCTGATTAACCACCTAATAGCCTTCCTGTTTTTTCCTCCTAAATTTTTCCCAGTAACGTTTTTTCCTGCCCTTTTCCCTTCTTATGGCCTGCTTTGTGCTTTGCTAACTTGCATGTCCCCAGTGATTGCTGTAAATAGCGACGAGGCCAGGAGGGAGTCTCTGTTCTGTCCTGATGAACTAGATTCACTCTTCTCCTACTTTGATACTTCTTCAAAACTACGTAGTAGTAAGTACTACTCTTGTGGAGCATTCCAAGTCTGTGCCCGTGGTCATTGTGCGGTGTGGCCATTTCTCTAGATGTTACCCATTGTCTCGGAATTACACATTACTTATAGTCATACGATAAATTAACTCTTTACTACCCCTGACACATTACGGGGTAATGAGATATGTTGCGACTCTGAAAATAAGTTTATTGCCAGGCTTCATGACTGATTCATATTTTGATACGTGAAGTGTTCCAAAGGATTAAAACTGTCATAAATTTATTCTACTGGTGGTGGCTGAGATCACGTTGATGTATCAGAGCTCATTTTAAAGCCTCATTGATTGTGGGACTTTTTTCCTTAATGGTGCAAACTTTAATCACTAGCTGGTTTTTCTTTAAAACAGTCAAAAGTAATGACAGTGGAATCCAGCAGAGCTCTGATGATGGAAGAGAATCTTTACCTTCCACAGTGTCAGCCAATAGTTTATATGAGCCGGGTGAGTTTTGGTGAAATTCCATGTTAATTGGTATTGTTTGCTGAAAAATGCATGTGGAAAATGCCAAGTTTGATTAAATAGTTTCTGAAGGAAGTGGTTAGTCTTTTAGAAGGTACTAAGGGGCAGTTAATACTGCTGAATGAGAAAGCAGCTATTTTCATATTCGGAAGTTCTCTCTTAGCTGTACATTTTTCTAAGCCTCAAGATATGTGTCAGTAGCTAAGGATAATTTTTAATCCACATGAACGGTATTTCTTACTACCCGTTATCTTTTTTTGTGGCTGTCTTTTCTTATCAGGAGAAAGAGATCAGCAAATCCCCCACATCCCCCCCAAGTTAGGTTTTTCTTCTGACCTGTGCTTTCCTCCTGTATTCTCTCCTTTATGATTTCAGTGGTTATGATCTTGCAGAATACTCAGGATAGTAAGCATTCTTTAAATTATTTGAATTGCTTGTACTGCAAATTGTGATGATGGTATTGGACCATTCTAGGAATAAAGTGAGGTTTGGTCTAGTAGTGAAATCCTTTAGGGATTCTTACTGCCTCTTCTGAGTCTCTAAGTCCAGGCTTATACTCATATATACCTAATTTTAATCTAATACAGAGTAATTTACCTATCCATTGGATACTGGCAAGACCATAAAGGCCTGGTGTACTAGTCGATGTATTTATAAGAGAAGAAGGTTGTGGAGAGTGATTAGTCTATAGGAAATAAGATTCCTTCGTGAACATCTCCCATTAGCTCATTTTGTTAAACTAGTGGTTTCTTATGTCACAACTTTCATACTGTGATACAGGTAAGAGTTTGCTTTTTTAAAAAGCTGTGGTAAGATACACATAACGTAAAATTTACCATCTTAACAATTTTCAAGTGTACAGTTCATTGGCATTAAATCTATTCACACTGTTGTGCTGCCATCACCACCATCTATCCACAGAACTCTTTTCATCTTACAGAACTGAAATTCTGTACCTATGAAGCAATGACTCCCCATGCTTTCCCTCCCTCCTTGCCAAGACCTCATTTTTATTGATGTATTTGTGTTTGCTTTTCAGAGACAGAAAGGCAGGATTCTTCTGTGTTTCTCGACTCTCAACATCTTAATCCAGGACTCCAGCTTTATAGGGCTTCGTATGAAAAAAATCTTCCTAAAATGGCTGAAGCTTTGGCTCATGGCGCAGATGTGAACTGGGCTAATTCTGAGGAAAACAAAGCAACACCACTTATTCAGGCTGTATTAGGGGTATGAATTTGTAAATTCAGGTCTTCAGTGGTAGTAGAGCATAAAAAAAATCATAATTCATTTTGAGCATAACTTTAACATTATTGTTTGCTTTAAGAGATGGGATAGAAAATAGAAGCAGCAGCTAGTAGTGATTTCTGAACATCACTTTGTGTAAGCTCGATTTTTTTTCTTAATGAGGGAGTTCTAGTAATGAAAGTAGTGGGTTTTGCTAGATCACAAACTGCAAATTGAATCCCAGTTAGAAGTAGTTCTTGGGAAGAAAATAATATAGTTTATCATTTTTCTGCTTTTTGCAGGGGGGTATTTTCTCTTTTGGGGAAAATACAATAGAAGGGCTATTAGAGTAAAGTAAATACTCTGTTAATAGAAATATATTGTTGTTTGTTTGCTTTTTCTCCATTGTTATCTTCTTTTTTCCTCTAAGGGCTCTTTGGTGACATGCGAGTTTCTCCTTCAGAATGGTGCTAATGTGAACCAGAGAGATGTGCAAGGGCGGGGACCACTGCACCATGCCACTGTCTTAGGGCACACAGGGTAAACTAGTGGTTATATATTTAAGTAGATTTTATTTGAAAAAATTATTTTGAAATAATGTTTTGCTCTTTCTCAGGTTAAGATTGTTTGCTAGAGCTTATAAAGTTATACTTTCCTTGACTTATACTGTCATGCTGGAACTGAAAATTTTTAAAAATTTCATTCAGAAAAAAGATATGGTTACTTTTCAGATAAGAAAATTGCCAAGCTTACTTTGAACTTTACTAATTCTTTATATAGATCTGTTTTAGTATTTAAAACTGTGGTGATTTCATCAGACAACTTAAATCTGTATTTGTGTATATTTATGCATGTACATACATTATGTACATAGCACATACATTTTGGGAGAGTTTTGTAACTTTGTAAATTTTAGTTTTCCCGCAAGGTAGTTAATTCTTATTTTGTGCTATTGATGTGTGGCTTCTGGAGCAATATTTAGATTCACAGAACAATAAAGCCTTAAAAATGGGCTTTCTACTAGAGGGTACAAATAAAGTCAAAATATTGGCCTTATATAAAATTTGTGTCATAGGTCATTGTTTTTCAATAAAATATCTCAGGATCTCCAAGTCTTATTACCTGGACAAACAAGAAACTGTCCTTTTTTAATGTTTATTTATAGTATCTTCTATTTTCATCATAGCTTATTTTGTTTCCCTCTATTAGCAAGAAGATTCAGTTCAATAACTTTATCATAAAAACTTTTCTCTACTTAAAAATGGTTGTATTTAACTCATCCTTTGTATTTTCTTCATAATCATTCCCATTTTACTTTATAGATCCCATTTATTCATTTTTTCACTTTTTTTTTCATTTTTTGTCAGTTTCTTCAAGTTATGAATATTTGTGGAATACAGCAGCAAGATTACTTCCCACTTGTTGCTGTTGTATTATCGTTAATGTATTATGATGTTAACATTGCCTTGGCTTTCTTCTTTCCCTGATAATGACCTTGAGTGATTTTTGTTTTATTTACATTTATAGTTATCTGTGTACATCTTTTTATGATATTCTTCAAGGGTAGTGACCATAATTTATACATCTCACTATGCTGTATATTATCAGGTTAAATGTGAAAATTCCATAAGATTTATAAAATGTTGATCATGGTAGATTTTTATTATTAGAGTCAATAGTCAATAAATCTTTGTAGAATGAATCAAGAATTTCCTAATGAAAATGTTATTTCTTTAAGTAGTGCTTTTTATTTCTTAAGGTGAATACTAATTTTTTTTCTTATCGGTAATATCTCAAAAACGCTGTTCCCTTAAACAGGCAGGTATGTTTATTCCTAAAACGAGGTGCCAATCAACATGCCACTGATGAAGAAGGGAAGGACCCTTTGAGTATAGCTGTGGAAGCAGCCAATGCTGATATAGTGACCTTGTAAGTGTTTTCTTTTCACTTGATTATTTTCCATACACCGTATTACTTAATACGGTGTTTAAACATAGAGTTTCGTGTGTAGGCATGAAATTTAAACTTGGTTCTTTACTAGAAGCCATTTACTTCTCTAAGCACGTTAAATGTATGAAACACTTTACATACATGAACTTACTTGGTTCCCACCTCAACCCTGTGAGGAAGGTTTTATTATTATCAAGCCTCACTTTATAAGGAAGCCAAGCCACAAATAATTTGAGAAGCTAGTAAGTGGTAGAGCTGGGATTTGAAACCAAGAATTCTGGCTCTAAAATCCATGTGCTTAGCCACTTCTGTTATACTGCCTGGCCAGTAGGAACAGAAAATCAGTAACTTTTCTGATTCTTTAACTCTCAGTACAGTACTGGGGTGGGAGTTGGATTGGTATAGTAACAGGAAATTTTTCGACTGCCTCAGGAATTAGAGGATTATAAGCAGGGAAGCCAACTGCATTGATGTTAGTAACTTTTGCAGTTGCATTTCCTTTGGGCAGTGATAATTAAGGGACCTGTTTGTACTTATTTTTTTAAAGAATTATTCTTATGAGTACTCTATTTTGAGGTAAAAATATTTGTTTTGGAATGTTTGAATACAATTTAACATGACCTACTAAAGGAAGAATCTTGTGGTCTTTATTTGATTTTCATCTTAGATCAGAGTTGTTCGTTACACTTGGAATCTAGGAATGTGGTTGTCACCTACACTTTATTGTTATGTAGGAAGTCTCAAGCATATGTTGTATGAGTCACTTATTCAGTCTATTCTGAATGAAGCCCAGGATTGCTGATTCCCTGTTAAATAAGTAGAGATAGTTCCATCTACACTACTGAATTTTAGTCACTTACAGATAGAAACTCCCTTGACTATCTTGAACTCCTGAGCTCCCACTGAGAATTCTTGACTTGCCATAATATCACCCCTCCCTGACCCCTGCCAGATTAAAACAAAACGAAAAAACAAAAGAGCAAAACATATTTTCTCTGTACTTAGCTTCTTTTCCTCACTGGAGGGGTTATTGTTATTATGGAGACTATTGTAGGAAAATTTAGATCTATTAAATCATTATAGACTTAAAATTGGAGAAAAATACGTTATTAAAGAAAAGATAGGAGTGATATACAGAGAAATTAACCCTGGCTGCAGCTTCCCAGGCAATTCTTACAGTAATGGCCCTTCTTCCCCCAAAATATGGTCCCAAATTGTCTTAAGTTTTCTCATTTTACTTTGTATGAGGACTTCAGTTTCACTTACAATTTTTTGAAACAGGCATCCTCTGTGAAAAGTCCAGATACCAAAAAGGGAGACTTATTTTGCTATTATTAATTCACACAATGGTTGGAAAGGAAATGGCAGGGAATTGTGGTACTTTGAAGATAAGAAAAGCCCATGTCAGATGCGGCAACTGCCAGAGAGAGTATGTTAGAAGAGGGTGACAGAAGTCTGGGAAGGCGTTGAGGATTTGGCGGCCTGGAAGACAGGCAAGAAGTACAGAGTAGGAGAGGGGCACCACAGGTAAATTTGCCTGTTTCAAAATGTTGCTTAAAGTCAGTAAGAAAATGAGAGGAAATTCTTGTTTTCTTAATCCAGTGCTACAGGTCTTCCTGCTGCCAGGATAAATAACCCAAAAAAGAATGTATAATCAATATGGTAACCATGCAAAAATCTTGGTAACCTGTGGTCACTTATTATAATGTCTGTAGGTCAGAATATATCCCCAGTATTTATAGATAACACATGCTATTTATACATCTGGAACTACTGTACCTCAGGGTGAACCAGAATGAACTTATGACAGGCTATTGCTTCCATTCTATAGAAGGAATAATTTCAGCAGTTGGCAGTTAAAGTTTGACAGGTTGCTTTAGGAGCCAGGAATTCTCTGTGTCTGGAGGAAGTAAGCTGCTAGAGGTGCTGCCAGGAACCTGCTTAAACAGAACTGAAATGCCCTTGTTAGAAGTCTTTTATTGTCTTCTCTCATGAGAATTGTATAAGATAAAATAATTATTTTTGTATCTCAGATTGCTGGGCCTGATAAACTAAAAGTACTTTTGTTTCAGTGGCAAATACTGGTAAAAAAAAATTACATGAATACGTCTTAGCTGCGTATGTAATTCATTAGTTTATGAATATTTATATTGTATAACTTATCTAAAAAATTCTTTTATTTAATTTTAGGTTACGTTTAGCGAGAATGAATGAAGAGATGCGGGAATCAGAAGGACTTTATGGACAGCCAGGTCAATATTCTACTAATAACCATACTGAAATGCAGTATAAGAAATGCATCCAGGAATTTATCAGTTTACAATTGGAAGATTCATAGTTGTTTAGCAGACTAACTTAATGCTACAGAGTTTTTATAAATTACTTGTAAATTGTGAGTTGTTAGGTATATATACTGTACTTACTGAATTCTTGGGAGTGGCTCACTCCTGAGCCTTTAAAAATCTGTAACTATTCCTATTACAGAACACATTTACTTGCTGTATCTAACTCTGGCTGCTGACTTCTTTATCTGCTGTACAGATGTCTTCCATATACATTCCAGAGAGGCGAATGGAATGATAATGTATCTTTATACACTTACAGCAGCAGCACAGCAGTCATTTTCTTTTTGGCTGTCAAGTGAATATAACAAAATTGTTTTCTTTTTGTTATTCAGGGAATTTCTATAAATTGTGTTCAGGGAAAAAAACAAATCACTATGTGTTGACATATAAAAGTCAGTATGGAAAATGCCTAGAAGAAGTTTATTAAATTAAGAGTTCCGTATTTGATCTAAAAATGAGTGGAAGGTTTAAGAATAAAATTGACCAGTAGGTTAAGAAGTCCATAATGCGAATGGAGTTAGTTTAAAAGGTATGGGGAACAGGTCAAATTTTATCTTGTACTTTTGCCCCAAGTAATTGTACAATATCTGTTGGATAAATGGAAGTATTTAGAAGAATATTTCATGAGCTTGATAGCAAAGTAGACGTATTCTTATTAGAGAGAACTCAGGATCAGCTCAAGTCTCATTTTGAGTAATTTTTGAGTCGAGATGTCAAGAAAAGCAAGAAATGTTGCTGATCAGATTTCTTTCTTTGATGAACATATCCTGATTAGACATTCTTCACAAAGAAGAGAGTAATAATTAGATCTCCAGTTTCATGAATTTGAGTATATGAATTACTAATTTATCTGTTTTAAATTCATATACATGCTGGTTAAAAATTTTAGGAATTCATGATTGAAATAATGGAGAATGTTCAGTTTTAAGTGAGTATGTTTGATTTTTTTCAATGACTATTAATATATTATTTTAAAAGTGGCTTGTGATATCATCTATCTTTCCTGTTTAAGTATGTTTTGAAATTTCTGCACTTTATGCTAGCTTCAGCCATTTACTTTTATTTTAGCCAGATTAATACATAACTAAGATAAATATGGGGCCATTCCTTTCTCAGAGGACTGTATTTATTACTTATTTTTGGTCTAATTTAATAGGAACAAATAAGAACTTTGAGAATAGAGGCACTTCAGCTAGATACTTCTGATCTAGGGTGTCCCACTTTAATCCTATGGATCAAACAGTACTACTGACTCATGATGTACCAAGATGTAAGAGTGCTGATTAAGGGTGAAGTCTCAGCGTTAATTCTGAATTTCACCCATTTGTTTTAAATTTGAATGTTAGACTTTAAATACATTATAATTTTGTAACAGATATATACTTAAGTGATAGTATTACTAGGCCATTTTTGAGGCCTTTATGTTTAAGCACTTTAAAATGAAAATTATTCAGAGACTATGACCTGATTCGTGAGATAAGAGTGAACTTCAAGATTTTAAGTTAAACAGTTTTTTTTTTCCTGACATTTTAAGTGTAAATGTTTTGGTCAGCTGCTCTTTCCTTAAGGTGTTTGCTGATGAAGCTGCACCCAGCTGATTAGTCAGAAGGTCGGTGGGTGACTTTTCTCTGGAGCTGGGAAGCTTGGAAAGACAGGTCTTCTTATGTTCTTGCAGCTTCTAGTTCCACCTAAACTGCTCGGGCTTCTGCCCCGAGCATTCAAATGTCTCTTTCACTGTCGTTTTATGTATACGTTTATGAGTATATACCTTCCGCTCAACAGTAGAAAAACAGATTTTTCCAATTTATTTGAATGAAAATTTGAAGAAAAGGCTTATTTAAAAAAAACAAGCTTGGGCTTCCCTGGTGGCGCAGTGGTTGAGAGTCCGTCCGCCTGCCGATGCAGGGAACACGGGTTCGTGCCCCGGTCCGGGAAGATCCCACGTGCCGCAGAGCGGCTAGGCCCGTGAACCATGGCCGTTGAGCCTGCGCGTCCGGAGCCTGTGCTCTGCAATGGAAAAGGCCACAGCAGTGAGAGGCCCGCGTACTGCAAAAAATAATAATAATAATAAAAATAAAAAAACAAGCTTTCCTACCACTCAAATTTTAGCTTAGAAAAGATTAAAAAATAGATCAGAAGTCTGGAAATGGTATATCAGCAGAATAAGATGAGATTCTGATTTGGTAATAATTAGATTTTAAATTCATTTGGGGGTCTCATAGTTAAAGCAGAACAACTTTATACTTATACAGGTGACATGGTAAAATGGCTCAGCAATTGCTCTCTGGCTTCTTTTCCTTTATGAGTCTTGGGAGAGCAGATATTTTTGCTCAGGCAGCAGGTCTTTTTTCTTCTCTGCTTATCACTGTAAATTTCCCTCTCATAGATTTTGGTTGGTTGTTTTATCTAGATCCTTTTTTTGTTGCCTAGCAATAGAAGGAAAACTTCAGAATTCTGGGTAGTTTTAAAAGGCAGGTATTTTCAGTTTTTTCATTATGAAGAGCCCTACCATTAAAAGACTCAGATGTAATCTTTGGGAATGATGGACCTATTTCTAGGAAACCCCACTTTTGAACTTTCTGTCTACAACCCTACGGACCTGAGACTCCCTGTTTTTTGCAAGGCGACTTAAGAGCACACATTTCCTGAAGGGAAGATGTATCCTTCTTTGTCAGTTCCCACAGCTCATAGGACTGGGTGGGTGAGTGCAACATCACGCCGTGCTCTCAATTGTTGGAAACCAGTTTGGTGGTTCCCACAGTCTCTGGCTCTGTGACTCCTCTTGATTGTTGGCAGAGTTTCTCAGCCAGTTGAAAATCACTGCTTTAGTGAACCACTACTGGTTATGTGAGTATGTTGCTGATGAAGATTGATCATTGATCTGATCAGTTACAAAAAGGAAGCTGTAATCAGCCCAGAAGGGGCAGGATCATACACTGATCACCTGGGAGTAGGGTCTCACAAGCTGTCATGTCTTTGAGGGGAGTACATTTTGAGAGCAAAATTAGCAAAATCTTGGATCATCACTGCTGTTGCAGTGCTTATTCTGAATACCAAAAATCAAGAACTGTTTTAAACTATCAGTGGAAATATAGCAGTCCACATTTCAAAAAACTCAGAACCGTCCAGGCACATGGAAAAGTTAACTTTCTGAAGAGAAATAAAATGTGATGAAGTAATTTAAAGAATATAACTTAGTATTACAAATATTGGGTGGTTAGTTGTTTACTGTTTATAATAGACTGTTAAATGTACTCATGTGAACTTTCCAGGGCAACATATTCTGGGTTATTGTTTATGTATCCTAGCGTAGACAAGTTATATTTGCTGTGGGAAACATTCTAAATGATTAAAATTGTATTTAAAGAATCATATTGAAGTTCAATTTGTGTTAACTATATTAAATATCTTAGTCACTATTGTTATTGTAACGTTTGCTTTCTGACAACACATTTTGAGGCCTAAGAAAGGTATTATATTGATAAGTCCCTTAATTAACATTTGGTTAGAAACTGAATGTTAACAAAAAGTTTTGTGTATGTATGTGAAGGTGAGACTTCCTTTTGTATTGTATTAACTCTTTTAAAATGTATTCAGTAAGTGAAACCAATGAGTAGTGTAGCAACAACACTTTCCTTCAAGGAAGCATTTAATTCAGTGAATTACAAAAATCTTATAATTTGTTTTGCATGGTACAATGGTTCTACTAAAATGTACTTGTGTAGTAGATACTTTAAAAACAAAAACTGGGAAACCACAAAAAGAAAAAAAAAATCCCACAACCTGTTATACAAAATATGCATTGCTAATAGTAGAAGCCATATATTGCCATTGTACTGTTGTAATACTTAAGATTGCTCACCTGGTGCTATCTGTAAACTATTTGGCATTAGCATCTATTAGATACGTCTTCCTATTTCTTCTTGAATGTATAATGTGTGCCTTTTAAGTTATTTCTGGTGTTGAATGGTAAAATCAGTGTGGTATTTTTGTATTATAATCTGCACTTTACACTTTCTTGGAAAGTAAAACTCCAGACTCTCCAGTTTAAATAGTATTTTTAAAATATTTATAATGTTTACAATAAATATTTTAAATATTTGAATTCAACATCTAAGAATAAGAAAAAAATTTAAATATTTTATATGGTGTGTTAAGTGATGTTTAATGTTTGTCTCTTCTCAGTTTATTTTATATCTTTTAGAGTGGCTAATAATGGGAATAGATTGTAGTTTGTCTTTTAATGTGGGGTAAACTTTTATGAAATGAAACATGGGTGTAATTGAATTGTCTTACCCGTTGTTCCACCATATCAACCTTTATTGTTTTAGTAACAATAATATGAGTTAGATGTTACTCTTAGCCAACCCATTAAGTTTCTCTTCTTACTGTATTTTTTCTTTTTAAAGTAGATTGATTCAGGTCATGAGAAAATTTCCAGGGCTAAATGAAAAACTACGTAGAGATTTTAATAACTTGCTTTTTACATTGACTAAATATTAAAAGCATTGACATTTTTTTATTGAAAATCTTGGGTTATGCTGTTAGACCTTTTACTAGATCTGTATCCCCCTCCCCCAGATTTTTTCTAATTCTCTGGCTTTTGGTATGACATCTGTTGGCTCAAAAAAATCTCACTTTTTAAAAGCTGACAAAACTTACTGCACTATTAACAACTGTAGCAATGCGTGTGTAATAAGATGGATGCAAGGTATCTTATGGGGAATAATTATAAAACCATGTTCCAACAATAATCATCTAAAACAGTATTTGACAGTCTAAATTCTGTTCTCTAAATCAGAAAACAGAATTATGCCCAGCTTCTGCATAAAGCTAATATGTTTAACAGGAAACATTCATGATGAATGATTCATCTTGAAAATAAGATTTCATTTTATACAAATCTTTTGTCTGAGGAGTTAGCCTGTATGTGTGTTATATATTTAGTTTTTCATTGCAAGAAAAATAGTATTCAATCCACTATAATATCAGTATCTATAATCTTCTCTACAAGCATATTTGTACGTATAAATATTTGTATTACTCTAATTTAACAGATGTCTTTGATATTTATTCCCCTTTTGTCATAGCATCCTTGCTCAGTACAGTAAATGAAAAACTGACTAAATGTGAAATGATTTTAAAGTCATTTTCTAGGCTTTATTATTTTATAAGCCTAGTAAAAAGTGGATTAGGTGCATTAGTTTGAGTTAAGAATTAAAGTTTGAGTAAAGACTTACTTTTTCACATGCTATTTAAATTAAAATGCCTTTAATTAAAAGATAATATTGAAATATGAGGCTTCTTTTCCCACATGGTTATTAGTTTTGTCTTGCTAATAACTTGCATCCAACAGAAACATTAGTGTTTGTTTTTGGTCTTTTCTTTTGGCCTTGATCAAGGGAAATATTTATTTAAAGAATGCTTTGTTTATTTAGAATGACGTGATTTACCTCATTTAGAATGACTTTTATTTCTCATGTGTTAATAAATGTATTTCTTTATATTGCTTTAAAACACTTGCATCTTTGCTCTTTTCTAACTCTGAACTTTCCTCTGTGGCTGCATCTGAGGTGCTTTTTTCAGGTATAGTTTTTTTTTTTTTTTTTCTTCCACTGTATACTTTTCCAGCACTTATATTTAGTTGGTCTTTTTTCTTCCAAAAACGCTCATCTGAACAAAATTTTAATGTAATGAATTATAAAATAGTTACTAGTCGTAAAAATGAATGTTGTTTATTAATACTTTCAATTGTGTAAATTTTAAAAGTCTCCTCATTTTACTTTCATGCAGGTGATGAAACTTACCAGGATATTTTTCGTGATTTCTCCCAAATGGCATCCAATAATCCAGAGAAACTAAATCGTTTCCAGCAAGATTCACAGAAATTTTGAATTTTTTTAAGAAGGGGAAAATAGTAAATCTGGTGACTCCCTAAAGTATACATCTGAAAACTCACAGATTTTTACTTCTTTATTTCTACTTACTTACTTTTAGTAGCTATTGAGTTGTTTGGGAAAAAGGTACCCGTTCATTGATATTTTTATAAATCAAAACATAGATCTCTAGTAGTTGGGAGGGGAACCTACTTTAAGACTTCTTTTATTAAAATTTTTTTTTAAAGCCTGTTTAAAGGGCTATTTTTTATAGATTAAAATTTAAATCTAGACTTAGGCCATCTCTAGGTTACAAGATGCTAAGAGTTTAGACAAAATAATCTTTTTTTCCCAATGGGTGGTAGCATTGATGTTTTTCTTCTGTGCACCGTGCCCAGGATCGTTCAATCAAGCATATCGGCATCGAGTGGGAGCCTGATGTCCTGCCTGACTTGAGAATATGTCTTTGCTTTAGCTTCCCTGATGTTGGTGATTCAGAAATAGTTTTTTTCTGTTTGTTTGTTTGTTTGTTTCTTGGTAGCCTAGCTGTCATATACACAATATGTAATTTAATTATTAGAACTAGAGAATATATGCATCCCCACTTGCTCATAAATGCAGTTATATTCCTCAGTTATTGTCCAGTACTTTAACGTACATACAGTGGCTGTACAGATTGACATAACTCAGTCCTTTCGATTTATTCCATTTTATGAAGGAAGAAAAAAAAGCCCTCGACAAGTTTTTTTTTAATTACCAAAAGAATCTCATAGAAGTTGTAGTTCTTCATTGTTTAGTTGATTTCCTAAAACCTTGACAAATTTATTGATGTTAACAAGACTGTGTTTCAAAGGTTACTTGAATGTTGCAAAATTATGCTTTCATCAGATTGTAACTATCAAAGGAAAAGTTGACTTATAAAATAATGTAGAACATTTTTATATTTGAAATGTGTCCTTTTCCAGATACATTTTTGCTATTGCTCCTAGTGAAAGGAAAAATATCTCTGTAAAAGGAGTAAAAAAGACTCAAGTTTTTTTAGTTTATACTAAAATATACAGCAATAAATTGTTTTTTAATTCTTCTAACATCTCCTGTGTACTTGTTGTACACGGTATACATTCTTTTAAACTATAGCATCTGTATAGCTTTAGTATTTGGTTACATGAATCACAGACCCTTGAATTCCAAAATATTATGGGTATACTAATTTTCCAGGTATATGCTACAGATAGTCTGATTCTATCTTTGATTGACGTATCTTGTCAGGAGTATAAAATAAATAATTTGCCTTATGGTTTCTTTCTGATATTGTCATAATTAACTTTCTTTTTCAAGTTACGTGTAAGTAATATTATTGATACTCAGTTTCTAAATGAGAGGTTTTTAAACTTGAGTTGCCAAATGAGTACAGAAATTATATTTCATTGGGTAGATAATAAATTTTCTAACATTTTCCCACCAGTAAGTAGAGTTTTCTAAGTTGACTGAACATCAAATCAGAATCTGTCTAAACAGGAATTATACTGACATAAATTCACATCACAGAAAAGGTTCCACATTTGTTTGGCTAAATTTCATGCATATAATGCTTATTTAGTAATAATTGCTGTGTATTAGATAAGGATACAAATATATTTAGGGATTATTTCTAAGGAAATGCTAACTTCCAAAGCCTTGTATTTTAATTGCAACAATACCAGGAACCTTAAATCTTTCCTGTTTCACCTCAGAGTCACAGGTCACCGGGCTTTGCAAAAGTCTGATTTGTAGCATTTTTATTAGTGTACTTTGAAATTAATTGTCCGAAAAGCTCAAGGAGAAGGAAATATGTTGAGAAAAGAAAGAAAGGAAGAAAGAAAAAAAGAGAAAAGAGAGCCTCACTTTTCCTTTGTAGTGCCTATTCCTGTTTTGCTCCTAGGAATTCATCTGACCTTTATCTGAGGAAGCCTAGGCAGTTTACCTTTTGGATCCAGCCTTTGGTCTTCAGGTCACCTCTGGGATCTCTGGTTGTAAAAGCAATTCTTGATCATACTCTTAACTCCTGTGGCTTCAGTCATGAGTTGTTAATGTGGCAGTAATTAGTGTCTACTTCAATTTAATTGTTAGAGATGTATTTGAAGTACATTAAAGATCATGGTTCTGAATATCTTCAGAGAAAGTGAAATCTTTAACAGTACAGGGAGCCCGTACGTACAAAAATATACTTCTGTGGCTTGACTTCTTGAATATGCCAAGGCCCAATTTGGATTAAATTTGGCAGAAATGATGCAGGAGTAACAGCAAGGTTTTAAAGTAAATTAATGGTTACAAGTAGTTACAGAGTAGGTTGGCTCTTAACCAAGGTGAATTAGCTGTGTCAACTAATAGCCTTTCTGTAGTATGTAACAAATCTTAGTTTCATTATGCTGTGAATTATTCAGTATCATATGATAAATTATAGTTTAAACAACGTTAGTCATACTCTTGGGCTTCAGAAATCAATTTGACTGTCCTTTGTTTTCATTCCCTCACTGATCTGCTGGTATTAGTTTCTGATTCCTTATCATTATTCCATTAACTCATTAACTTAAAAGTTAATCTCAAAATAAGAATAGCAGTACTATGAGGAATTCATAAAATACAGTTTCATGTTAGAACTAGACTAAAGGTAATTGCATAGTTATTTGCAATTTTTTCATTGTAACACTTACATGTTTAAGATTTCTAAGGTTTTAAAAATTACCTTTGGTACAATCCTTAGAAATTCAGAAATTTCCAGGGATTCACTATATTACATTGTTTACCTAATTTATACTGGTCTTTGTAGATTTTAATCAACTTTGGTGTTTACTTTGTAAAACATATAGATTTTATTTGGAATATTACTTTGGTTCTTCATGGGTGCATTTTGAAAAAAACTTACACTTTCACAGTCTGGACAGCTTAAATTTGTGGTGTGTTAAAGCAGTATTTTAAAAATATAATTTTACACATGTGAAGTGGGGTCACGATAAACCAAATTGTATTTAAGATTAAATTTACTATCCATTTTGAATAAGACATTCCCATATCACTCTTATATTGTGGAATTAACTTTTCTGTTTGATAGCACTTTCGACTATGGACATGAGCTGGAAAAATGCTATTATTTTTATAGAATTGTCTGTTCAGAATGACTTTAGACCTGCATGATATAGTGGAAAGAGCACTGACTAGTTACTTACTACTCTTATTGGATTCAGAGCTCCTCACAAATAAAAGGAGTGGGACGAAACAAGGTGAAACTGTAACAGCATCCCTTGGTGTACTGTTGCGCTGCTCACATCTGCTCACAGTGTGCTTTGCCTTTACTCACAGTAGGACTTCTGAGATCTTAATCTAAGAGCACCAACAGTGTCTCTTCTTTGATCCTGGGCTGCTCCTCTTGTTTTACAGAGCAGGTTACTGGTTTGCTGGTTGGTGGCATAGCTGACACCAGAACCCCTGTCTGACTAGTAGTAGTCAGAGGCACTTTACTCATATCATGAAATGATTTGAAATCATTGTAAAGCAGCAAAATTGGATAACGACTGCCAGCTTTCCTTGTGCTTTGATAACGAAGACTCCAAGTATTCTGGAGAACCTGGATATAAAATTACTTTGAAGGAATAGATTAGGGTTTAAATACATTAAATTGTAGGGAATTTTATATATTTGCAATAACAAACATTGATGAAGGCAAAACGTTGTAAAGGCAATTCCAGTTCACATATGCTTATCAATTTCTTGATGCTTCTAAACGAAGACAACTAAAAGGGGCATGGATTCAGTTTGGCCAAATCCTGACATCTATAAATATGATTTTGGGGGCATCCTTTTCTATTTACATAAATTTATCTACTAAAATAAGATAATGGGGGGAGGGAAGTAAGGTTTGATTAAGTAAACTTTTCTCTACGTTGCTCTTTTCACTATCTTATGTACTAGATTTTCTTATTTTTCCTCAACATACCTCCCACCTTTTGGGTGTTCATTTTAAACAGGGAAAGCTCGCTACATTATAAAGAATGTCGTCACCATTCATTTTACACGAAGGCTAAAGGTTAACTTTTGGAAGTGATGAGCTACTTTTCTATATGTGTTTACTCGTGCTTTGTGATATTTCTGGATCATTCCAGTCATAAAGACTTATTACATGTAATATTTCCTGCTACCTGTGAAAAGGTATATTTTAAAGAATGTATAACCAACAGTCCATTTACTTTTTATTAGTATGTAGAGGATTTATTTGTATCTAATTCATGAATGTAGTTTTACTGTAGGATGTCACTGTAAATGGAACAAAGTACATTATCTTTATAGTTATTCTAAAATGTATATTATGTAAGAATTGTAAATATTATACCTGATTAAACTCTTTGTATGCCAAGAAATTATGTCAAGTCAATAAAAATCTCACCTCTGGCATAGTTCTATTATGCTCAGACTTCCACTTTATCGTGAACTACAATTGCAGACATACCTTTTAACAACTGTCATGTTTAAGGTCCTGTATTCCTTTCTAACGCTGTCACACTGGTCCAGATTGATCCTATTTGCTGATTGCTTCAACCATGAAATCCATTTTGATCTTTTAATTATTTTCTTCTGCCTGATCACAGAGCTGTATGGCTCCCAGTTCATTAGCTGAAAACCACAAAAGGCCTTTTTTGCTGTAGCTCTAATTTTTTTCTATTATGATTGAGATATCTGTTGAAGTTTCTAATCTAGGCAACACATTTACACTCAATCCTTTTAGTAAACAAACAAACAAACAACATGTTTTTGCATGAAATGAGATTGAAGGAATAGAGGCTTGAAAGAACAGACCTGGAAATGAATTGCCTGCTTTTGCCTTTCCTTAAAAGTTAGTTGAAAGCAGACACTTAAAACTTTTCTATGTAATTTGCTTTATTCCACTTCATTTCATTTTCATAATAGTTCTTTGACAAAGAATCCAAACTGACAGTAAATGTTTTCAATGAAAACAGCCTACTTTTCGTTATTGCAAAACAGTG